AATAATAATAATAAAATATATAAAATAATGTATAGACAGGCACGAGTAGTATACATTAAGTGAAGTTAAAATACAGTTTTTATTTTTTAATAGATATATAATATATTATAGGGTGATCCATTAATATTTAATTATAGTAACACTCATTTTTCGGCAAATAACTAAACATTAGTTATAGTTTTTCTTGATGTAAACATTTTTATGTAATTGTAATAAAATATTATAAAACAACCAAATATTTAACTTTTTTTAGTATTTTCTATTTTCTTAAGTATTATCGATTTTTTTAACTTTATAATGGAATCGTATATTGCTTATAACTTTTAAAAAATACTAAACAAGGTAAATATTTAGTCATTTTTTAATGTTGTAGAATTACATAAACAAATAATATGTTTTAAAAAATTAAAAGGATCATCGGGGATTTGTACTGTATAGTATGTACAAGTTTATTGGATATTAAAATCGACTAATTGATTGTATCCTGTAAGCTGATTTAATAATCTCTTATCCGCCATGTATAGATTATCAAATTTTCCGTTATCCACATCCCAATTTTCTTCTTCTCCTTAAACCACACAAATGGAGTCGACCAGCCAAATCTCTCTCCATCCAAACTTTCCACACAAATTTCCTCTTTATTTCTGTACTCACTCTGGAAAACATATTCACACTATTGATTATTATGGGAAAATATCATATGTTAACAAATTTTATTTTTTAAAGCGCGCATTTTGATTTGTTAACATCAGAATAATCGTATAGTTTTTTTTAACAAATAAAGGTATACATTTATTTTGTTTTATGTCTGCTACAGATTATTGTGTTATCTTAAATGTTAAGTAGAAATATTGGTTTTGCCTTACAAAACTTTTTTTAATTTAACAAATACATGGAACTTACCGCGTTTAATCTTGCGGGTGACGTTTGTATCTTATAATATTATGATATTACACGAAAACCGCTATTATTAATAATAATATACATATAATTTTTGTACCGCAAAAGTTTAGCGATTTTTAATTAATTAAAATTAAAAATTCACGCCTCGCGTATTACCTGTATTTGATGTTTTTAAACAATCATCAACAACGAAACGTTTTTTTTAACCATTTAAATTAGTTGTTATTTTTTATTTTTATTCCCCGAAAAATACCCAAAAGGAATTGTATTAACACAACAAAATAACTTTTTAATATTATTCGTTTTTAATTTTTTGTTTATCCAAATGTAAAATGCTTTTTGCGTTTAACGTTTTTGTTAAACTTTTTTTTTTTTTTAAGTTGTCATAATTAATTAAATAGTATTAAAATTAAACGAGCTTTGTATTTCATTTTAATAACACAACAAAGAATTCACACGAATGAAGGTATAAAAATCAAAAACTACTTCTTCGTTTTAGAATAATATGTAAAACTATATATTATTTTTTATTTATCTTAAATAAGTTGGGGGAACTCTCTTGAGAACTACGATTGGCGTATGTCAATCTATAGCTGTTGAATTATAGATTTTGAAACTTTCGCTCACATTGTCTGTGGCATTATTTTAACCACAACTTACTGGCGCGACCGAACCCGTCAAAATGTCAACTTATACTATCTTTGTTTTGTTTAACCGTATTAACGAGTTAACTTTACATTTGGTTACCATGTCATTCATTACTTCCGTTTGTTTAAACCAATATTAAACTCGCGTTCAACTAAAGTTATCCGAACAAGATAATTTGTAATGTTGATGGTATTTTGTTTTGAATGAAAAACAAATATTCTATGTTAGATTTAGTTAATTAAAAAATAACTAATGCACGACTAAAAAAGGTTTAATTATATTTTATAATACAATTTCTTTTAAATTTAATACAAAAACGATATTATTAATAATAGAATGAATAACTTCTGTTTCGCCAAAGTTTAGGTTCATAATGAATAATTGAAATTTTAAGTACTTTTTTTATTTTTTACTAACGTATACTAGTTCACCGCAATAAATTAACTACCAGAAATTATAATTAGGTTTTTTACCTATGGGACTAATGCACTATGACATGCAAAAAAGACCCGAAAATCCATCAATATTTTATTATAACATGGTAAAAGTGCATTTTTTTTCATTCTTTGACGCACATGAATGTGGTATTGATTCATCAGGACTTATTATTAATATATTATTAGGCAGTTGGAAAATATTGTCGCGAGGACGACGCTATAAAGTTCTAACAAACAGCAAGTCGTTATAAAAAAAATACATATATTTATTTACATATAAGCATACCCAAATAACCAGAAGACCCCATGATGTGCGTTATCAACAAATGTCCACAGTTTTGATTTTTATCAAACAAGAATAGTTTAAAGTTTTGTATTTTTTCCAATCAAAAGTCAGATTTAAAGGCAAGATTGACTTTTGAAATAATTAGAGATATGATACTGATAAGCATGGAGATTGAAGTAATTTAACTGTAGTTAATTGAAATAATTTTATAGATTTATATATACTTTTTCATGTATTATATTTTATAACCGTTATAAAAAAATGCATTATTATACCAAGTACCTGACTAATGCTAACCGTGTGTGTTACCATCGACTGTGTTACATAGTCCAAATCCATGTGTTATTTTTATTTTTGACTGTCTCTAACATGACGTGTGTGGTCTAAACCACGCGGTCTTCCTGTACTATTCTGAATAGTTATACTAACACATATAGTTATAAATTGTATATACATATAGAGTCCATCGCAGTCTTACGGTCGTAGACGATGATGCTGTGCTCTAGAATATTTTTTTGGACGATTTAATGTTCGGGGAGAAAAAAACAAGATTTCATATATTTTTTGATTTTTATAGTCAAACCGAGAAATTCTGGACTCGAAGAATTCGAGGTTTACGGTCGAAGCATACAACACTCGTTCGTGTGTTATTTACTAATATATACACACGTGCAATCATAATATAAACGGCGATGATAATTATTATTCGGATTGTTTGACGGGAAAACTACAGAGAAGTAAAAAAGAGATGGAGAGAGAGTGTATATTCCGGCCATCCGACCGTAGGCTATAATAATATTATTATGGCCTGTTTCATAAAGAGTTAACGACTTTGGCTGACGGCAAGACAGTCTGGCAGTGTTAATAAAACTATTAACGTTGCGATAATTATTAAAAGTCTGTGTGTAATAATAAAATATGGTAAAACGGTTTACGTTTACAAAAAAAAAAAAAAAAAAACATTTGAAAATAAATTAATATTTTGATAAATACACACACAAGTTACACAGGTCAAAATTTAACTTTAATTTTTTTTTCAAATTAGCTGTTAGATTATATTTTTGCACAGCACATATTATATAAAAATCTTTAACAATAAAATTGAAATGGGCTGATAAGGGCTACAGCAGTGATATTTTCAGTATTTAGATAGGGGTCCAAAGTATTTATATTCTGTTTGGGAATTTGATGACTCCCAAGTAAAATATTATTATGTCTGACTTATTTATAAGTTTTGGTCTTAAAATCTATGCTCTCTTCTTAAATTACACTAGTATTATTATATAAATATTCTTTCTTCCGTCTAGGTGGTTTTGAAATTTAATATATACTCACCGAAAAACCACAGTTAAGAGTCAATAATGTAATATGTATGTCGATTTCTTTGGCTTATGTTGTATTATCGTATTTATTAAAGTAATAAATTATTACTTATTATTTGTAACTATAAAAGTATTGTCTCGACAATAATAGGTATTATAAAATGTATACAATGTTTTTATTAAGGTGTTAAATGTTTCATCGAATAAACAAATGATTAGTAGATTAAAAATTCAAACAAGAATTATTATGATAACATTTTAATAATAGGGTCTATATCAACGATGATTTTAATCAAGTCAAATGCGATTTTCGTTCAATTGCCTGGTCTAATTATTATACGTACACCTTAATTGTACGCATTAATAGTAAAAACATATAATTTAAAAAAAATGTTATACTGCATTTTAGACAATTATTACAAGTGAAGTAATTTCCATAAGAGTTATTGGAATTTTTTTTAAAACAAGTTAATAAAAAAGGACTACAAAAAATTAATCCATGACACGATTAAAAAAAAAAAAAGATTGTTGCCTGAAAACAAGCATCGTATTAAATAAAAATGAAATATTTGTCAATGTCGTCAAGCATTATAAATCGAATGAATATTAGATTATTATAGCAAAATTATTTATAAAATATTTATAACTGTTTTATTACATCGCCGTAGTCGTCACGAGGCTTTCGACTATTAGTCTGTCACATTGATGCATTAATTACTACTCAATTTATTTTAATTGGATTATTTGACAATATTGTTTAATGGTTGTTGCTTATCCAAATTCATTGGTTTAGTTTTTACCATTATATTCTTAATGTATTACGCCAGTGACTAATATGTCTTATAATAACATTAGAATAGAAAAAGTGATGTTTATTTTTTGTCCACGTTATTGGACTATCGTGTAAAACACGTGTAAATTACTAAATGTTGTCAAATTTTCAGTGATTTCCACATTAGGTTTTGTCTGTTTATTATAACTCTTTCAGCAAATATTTTTAATTTATTTAGAGTACATAGGTATTATCAATCTTTAGATTTTGTAAATTTTAACATGAATACGCTATAATTTTGCAAACAAATACAGATCATGTCAATATTTTTGCATGTACACCTATTTGGATTTATGTTATTAAGTTTTTGTAGGTTTTTTTTACTAAAGTAAGAAACGCTTCGATGCAAATCTTTGGATATTGAACCCACCAACCCATGGATACTGGTTTAGACTGTGCTGGATTTTTACTATCCACAAATTCGCAAAGAAGCTTAGGTAGTGATGAAATCACATTCCTATTTATATTAATAGCTTTGACCGAATTTTCTGTACTTGGTTTGAACTGTACTGCTGGCGGTTTAAATTGCTCTGACTTAGACTGAACTTGTTTTTTATTTTTTTAATCCACAGGAGATGGGTTCCATGTTCCGGAGCGAGGAAATGGCCTTGTGTCAGCTTTTCATACAGCCAGAAGCCGCTTACGCATCTGTGGCCACCATGGGAGAGGCGGGCGTGGTTCAGTTTCGAGACGTAAGTACCGCGATTTTGACAAATAACGTTTATACCGGAATTGTATGAGTAATGATGGAACTCTTTTTTTTCTACACACCGCTCGTTCCGGTAACGCGAATTTATCATTAATCGTTTTGAACTCGACTTTACAACATATTATTTGCCGGACGTTTGTAACCGACGCACAAAGAATACCAAAATGTTCATACTATGCTTACCTACCTATACCCTATACCTATACTGGTACCCGAATTTTGTTTTGTTTTATAACAAATTATACATATTGTAGAACTTTGTATTGTATTAAAAAACAAATTAATAAATCAGGGTAAAAAAAAGCTGCATCGAATTTCCTACACAGAATTTGTTTGAATTATAAATATGTTCTAAACGTGTTGTTTTAGTTATTGAGAAATAATTTTAAAAAATGTCTAGTATAACTGATCTCTATAACAAAATATCCACTATTACAGTAATTAAAAAATCCTCAAAATTATTTTATCTATTATACATTTTGTATCGTCAATAAAATTAATTAAAAATGTAGTACTTAAATGTAATTGCCACTGGTAACATAGTTTTTCTTTCGAATTTGTTATTAGTTTTTAAATAAATACATTTTTTTTTTTTGCAATTAATAATTTGTGACTTTTTAACAAAAGTGTTTTTAATAAAGTTATTTTGAATTTCATGAAACACAGTAATAATGTATTTTTCAATTGTTCGGTTTTTGTCCTCAAGTGTCATATAAAAATATAAATGATCGCTAATCTTAAAATTAGGAACACGATGAATATAAACCTTTCATTATTATTTCTGTACAGTATTCAAAAGCTTTTTTAAAAAAAAACAAGGAAAACATATAAATCTAAAAACGATTTAAGACCTCTCGCGATGATATTCTGTAGCTTTTTTCTTTGTTACTACTTTATACATACTATTATATAACAAAAACAGTGTTAATCTTTTATGACTTTTGGGTAAGAAAAATCGTCTACAAAAAATACTGTTAAAAAAGTAAACAAAATCTTTGGTATTGCCCCGTTAAAAAACGGCTTTATCTTGTTTACTTGAGCGATAAATTATAAAATAACAGATTTACATCAGACTTTGTCGACAGAGTCATTGTTTAAAAGAACAATAGGGTTTTTAATGTTATACGCGTCCGACGTTAAATTTGAGCTCCAACTTGACGACTGGTAATTTTAAAATATCTAGACCGCTACAAAGTCTTCGATTCATTCACACTCGTGGGTTTAATAGTCAGTCATAAGGGGCGAATAGAACCGTCCAAGTAATGTGATAATTTTGATGTAACTCAAAATTACTTAAAAAACAAACAAACAAATTGACTTTTAAGTAAAACGCAAGTATTCAGCGATTTAGGAGATTTCGTGTGTCCAGGTGCAAAAATAAATAAAACATCATTGAAAACAATAACTTCTTAGCTACCCATCTGAATTAAAAATAGTTTTCACAATTTTAATAAGAAAAATAATGTCAGTTATATTGGTAAAGGGACATTGTTGTAGTTGTTAATTTTCGTTTGGATTTTGTTCTAATGGAATACTAAATAATTAGTGTGTAAATCCAGATGAACTATATTAAGGTGAACGTACGTACATCAACTAATAGTGTTAGTATTTCTGCTTATATTCATTAAGCTTATACATATACAAAATCATGAATACTTATGTAACTGTTTATAGTATTAATATAATCTCGTGTACTGTGTGCATTTAATTATAATATATACAGTGTACTGTAGGTAACTACCACGAATTATGCTAATATAATATATATATATATATTTTTTTTTTTTCGTTCGATAAGCTAAAATCAATAACATATAGCGAAGTCCTTGAATAGTAATAATATAGTATTGCATATTGGTTATTTAAAAATAATATATTTTAAATAACCGTTGTAAAAACTGTAATTAAAATCGAAATTGAAATGTAATTAGTGTACTAAAAATGTTAAGGTTTTTTTTAAAATAAAATACATTCATAGAATTTGAAGATGTTCAATGTGACTAGGTGTTTAAACTTTTGTTCTAAAATTGTATCGTTCTCGACAGAAATGGGTTTTTATTTGAAGGTTTATATTTAACTAGTAAAATGGTATTATCATGACTAAAGAAAAAATTTTTTTTTGACAATTTAAAGTTTATTTTAGAATATATGACACTCTTAATGATATTATTTAAGAACATAGACATAGAGTGTTAAAAATGTTTGTGTTGTTAACTACCAGTTGCGGTCAGCGGTGTTTTACCCTCAATATTAAATATTTGCATTAATAAGTTAGTTAATTAAATCAATTTGCGCAGTGTAAGGTTAAAAAGTCTAAATATCGTCTGAAACCTGAACAAACTACTTGTAAAAATATGTTGAGCATAATATTATTATCTGTCAAGAAAATCCGATAATTTATCAGTTGACATTGTGCCGTATTAATTATATGATATTCTTCAAATCAAAACCATTTAACTACTGTAATTTAGGTATACACGCATACACTTAAAATGAACTATGTGGCTATCTATTTTTACTGTACTTAGATATGCTTTACATTTCTCCTTCGTGTACCTATCCCAAGTACTTATATAACTGATTAATCTGTTTAATTTTATTTTAAAATTAGCACACATGTATAACGAATTAACACACATCAGTAAAGAATTCCTTAAAATAATAAATATAATTATTATAATTTATTATGTTCATCGTTCCCCAGCGGTAGTTTAACACTTGTGTCGTTTTACTATACACTATTATGTTACCTAGTACTACATGTACCTGTTGGCCGATCCTACTTGTTATATAACCCAAGTCCTTCACACTAAAAAAGTATATCGATTACTTAAGTAGATACATACGGTGTAAAATGTATATATTATATTCATATTATAAAATTTCATATGGTCACATATATTATACCCCATACCAAAAAAGTATAATAAAAAGATACTTAAGTATGAATTAATTTTTTTAAATACTTTTAGACGCGACTGTTTACGTGACCCGCTGGACCAACTTCTTCAAATTGCATCTCTATAGGTCACAAATGTAATTTAGTTGGTACTTTGATGAGGTAAAAGTTTTTAAAAAATGTACTCCTTCATCCTTATAACTGGGAAAAACAAAAAAAAAGTCATTACAAGGAACTCGTTTACCGAATTTGTTTATTGGCTTATTCGATATTTTTTAACAAGGCTTAAAAAAATGTTTCTAGCTTTTGCTCAAAATCTCAATAATATTTTTTTTATGGAAACCACCGATAGTCAACAGTTGTAACAATGACAAATTATTATAGACCGACTTCAACCCTTTTATGATTGTTGTTGACATTTAATTTTATTACCATGTATACAGGGTGATCGTAAGAAACGTTATCACATCTTTTGAAAAAAAAAAATACTTGTGTAGTTTTTATTTCCAATCGATCAGTCAAAAAGTCTTGACGCGTAAAACGTAAAATACAATTATTCATAGTTAATGGGTTGTATTATCGTTTAAAGTTTGGCGTCGTACCATTATTTTGGTTTTTCCCCTTGTATTATTTCGAATGATCCAAAATACATGTAGCCTTAACTTATCTACTATTTGTGATGATTTTCGGATGCTAAGGACCGGGCAACTCACAATCCTAGGAGGAAAATGGCCGTAAGAGTATTTTGTTACCCGTTATTAATGCCTTTAATGACTCGCCTTGGCCTAATGCACGATGAATTTTATGCTCATAGGATATGAGGTAATTCATTGAGTAGAGGTATAAATTTTAATAAGTACGGTATAAGCCACTGTAGTAAATTACGTATTGTAACATGAAAAATACAGGTACTACTGTCGGATTGTTAGTGTTTTGTGGTAAATGTCCATTGGCGTTATTTAAAATCAATTTTGACGTGCACCGCAATTGCCATTGGCAGTTTAAATGGCTATTAAAAAAAAAAACGTCAAGCGAGGAGACACACTATATCGACGTTGTTTCGAAATAATTAATGTGAATGAAACCCGACCGTCCTCGTTTGTGTGCGTATGTGTGTCGTCCCCCTTTTTTTAAACCGTATATTATGTAGATAAAATATGTTAATATATTCAAACGTTTACTTAGAACTTCGGGTTTTGAACCTTGACGAGTGTAGTTATCGCTGGATTAGGCTACGTCGATGATAATCTACAGGGTGATCTATCTGATGTAAGACACTAACTTTTCGGATAATATAAGTATTTTGAAAGTTATTATTAAATGTTTTACTGTATTCTTCAATACTTGGTCAATTTTCATCTTCATCCCTTATATGTAAAAGGAGTATGGACTTTGTTTTTTCAATTGTGAACATAATATGTTTTTAGTTCCATAAATATGTAGAAATCTGTAGAAAATAATGTTCGGTTTCTAAAACAGTTGCACAGTAATTTCCTATTAAATAATAATTTCAATCTCCGTCGATAACTCCGTCACCGTTACTAAATGTTTGAATAGATAGATAAGAACCGAGTGTCCATCAATATATCAAAACATTTAATTGTGTCTCGTTATCGGTGTTCTCGTCTATCGCACAATGCAAACATAAATATGAATATATTGGGCTACTGAACTTATGAAAAGCGAGAACATACGAATAATTATAAGGGGAAATGTAATATCCTTGCCAAGTCATAGCAAACGAACAAATTATTGTGGATCTCTTGCATGCATCACCCTGTACACGAGTATGTGTGTACGTACCTATACTTGTTAAAGGCCAACCTAAAATTATTGCGTGCATCCGATAGTAACTTTAACGGATGAATAAATAACGTCATTGTTGTGTCCCTTGCAATGGACGCGTATAAAAAGTAAATGTAATATAAAATTGACTTTCTTTTTCAATTATTATCATTATTAATATTATATTCACTTAATAGAAAAATGGGATGGAGAGAGGGGGAGCTCGAGACATAATCAAAGTGTGTATGTTAAATTATTATTTCTCTGCCGACTCATAATTTAATATTGTAACATTGCTCGAGTTATTCGACTGTAAGTAGAATTGATAAAATCTAGTTTGGGGCTGTAACACTTACAGTTTTCTCAAAAATCAGTGGTAATCTTAATTGTTGAAAACTAGTCGCTTATTTAACAATTATTAAATTTTTTTCAATTTGTTCAGCATACTTTACGATCATTAATAATGAAATAATATACAAAAACTGTATAATATTATATGAAATCAATATCAGTGAGGCCTGTAGAGTTCAACCCCTTATCCCGAAAAACATTTCCCCCAAATATTAGCTTTAATTAAAATTTTGATTTTTGTTATTTCAAAAAAATTTGCTAATATTTCAATTGGCAAATTTCCTGTTATTAGGTATTAGATTGATTGGGTACACGCTCAAATCAAAGATATTAGTGATGTATTTCTTAAGAAATCTCATACAAATACATATGATTGTTGTTGAGATTGCCGACATTACCTCGGCACAGGTTATGTTATTATTATTATAAGAAATTCTAAACAATGACCGAAATTTTTTATACTATAAAATATTTAATTATAAATTTGAATATGATTATTTTAGGACAATTTTTTTATGCTTTTATCAAACTGTAAAATGCGAGCTTTTTAGTCACCTTTTTTAAGAGCTTTAAGCACTTTCATTAGCCCTGTCATTTCTGAAATACTTCTTAGCAGTTAGTAAAATAAACGTGTCATTAAAAAAAAAAAAATGCCTAAGTGCATGTAAAAATGTTTATCTTTGTTTTATTTTAAACTCGCCAACGACAACAACTATTGATCTACATAATAGACACGAACACACCTAATATTTTTTGTAACTCGTCCAAATCCGTTAATTGCCCATAGTAATAATAATTATTTGAACGACCGTGTATTCGAAAAAAAGCCTCTTAAAACGTGCATCGTTCCAAATTGTACAAAAAAATAATAATAATACAACTATACCATTTAACTTGGCGCTAAAATTGTTTTTTTTCTTCAACTATTTTTGTAGTATGAAAATTCTCTTACAACCGTTTACGACAAAGTGGTTTCGCTTCGTTTACGACATTCTAATACTATTTACCCACACAGGAATTCCTTGAAATTTCTTAAATATTTCAATAAAAATCGCTAACATTTCCAAAATATTTTTAAAACAATTTATTTTAGATGGGAAATTACAGTATAACGTAACTATAGGTATATACTTTTTAATGGCGTTTCCTAAGTATTATGAATTTAAAACATTCGTTATATTTTCTAACCATTTTATCAATTTTGAAAAGATAAAGCGTATCCTTACAGTATGTATAATTAAATATAAAATATTTATAACGTTTTTTATGAAATTGTAATAATTACATTTTAATTTCAATTTTTTTATAAAAAGTTTTTCGTTTAAGAATTTCTGTTTAAACAAAATGTTTTATTAGTAAAGAAGAAAACTTAAATGTAATTTTTATATATTATTTGAGCTGCTTATTGTTATATTAAAAGGATTTTCCTTTTTTGCTAATATCAAATTTAGAGTTAAAACACTTTAAATTTTCCAAAACTAAAATCCAATGCAAAAGTATTTTTTAATTGCCAATTTTTAGCAACGTATTATTCAATGCTCTTTTTATAGATTCACAGTCATGCGTTTTTTAATGTTATAAAATCAATATTTACTTTCTAACGGATGTCATATTTTTTTTAAAATAATATTCCGTATCTCGCATAAGTATCATACGATACAATAATATTTATTAGTTATGACGGACTGCCAAACAGTACAGTTATTATTGTATAAATAAAAGAGTACTTGTAATTTGTTACATTTTCTGTATAAATAATTTAAATATCGATTGATGACTGACGTTTCCGGTTTTTATATTATTAATTATTGTATTCCGCTCAGACTGTTGATGGGATTCTCCCTGGAGAGAATACAATAAAAATTTAGTATTAAATGCAAATCGAATCGTTTCGTTGTATAAAATATATTATCATTCTAAATGTATACCTAACCGTCAAATTAATTTCAAGATTCCTCGAGGGACTCGACCCGGTAAATGGAACTTGAAATTTCGATCTACTAGTCAAGTACAAGTTAAATCGCATCGCTGTTTAACGATACATATTTATTTATTGACATTTTCTCTTTACCTTTCAACATACATTACCCAGATCCTAGAATCATTTATCACTAACAGATCTTTCTAAGTAAACTGAAGTATCTAAAGCTCAGCTCATAAAAGCCGGAGTTCCCCAAGGGTCAGCCTTGAGTACTACATTATTTAAATTATACTGCCACAACATCCCATTACCGACGAATTCTCAACTAACTATATTGGTTGAAGACACTACGTAGTTCTCACCCGAGATAAATCCTAGGACTTTAAAAGCGTCCTGGTTTATGCGCAATAGACAAATACACAATGTCTCTGATGTTCAATACATATCTGACTGGGTCAAAATCCAATTCAAAATGTGTATGATCCAATGTCTTTCCGTCTAGAGAATTTTTTTTAAATTCAGGCCTCGGTATTAATAAAAAAAATAAAAGTAAATTATCTATACAGTAGTCTGAAGGCTATAACATGTTCGTATGACAGGGTTTATTATTTTAATTTTATTTTTGTTTACAGTTAAACAGCGAAATGAACGTCTTTCAGAGGAAATTCGTCAGTGAGGTACGCCGCTGTGACGAATTGGAGCGAAAGTTGCGCTATATCCAAGCTGAGGTGCATAAAGATCACGTGCTCGTGCCCGTACCGGAGAGCAGTGTGTTCCCGTTCGCCCCCAATCCAAGGGAAATCATTAACTTAGAGGTGAGCTGTTTTCTAAAGTTATCGAAATTCCAAAATATATATACTACTATTTGATGTATTACTGTAAATCGGTGTTTGTTAAGGAAAGAGTTCTAACAGAACGCCATCGTGGAATAATTTCGGTTTTTGGTGTGAATTTCAATTTAAGTATTGATTCAAATAGTCATAAGTGGGGATAGGACGGTGATAATTTTTAGATAACTGATAAGAAAATATTGATAACAGAATCAACTGGAAACCCCGTTTAAATTACATTAGGTTTTATTTAATTGAATTTATTCCAAAACTATAATAAACTATGTTAATTAATATTATTGTTATTTTAGCTTCGATGCGGAACTGAGAAGGTATTGTTTTTACAATAATGGTTTTTTTTTTTTTTTTGCGAAGGAATAGACAGGCCGCAGACGACCAACTTTTATCGTATTTTTACCCTAAAACTAAAAATATAATAATTTTAGATGTGAATACTACACAGAAAAAACACAACCCTCAGCTACAAAGAATGCACCCCGACCTAATATGTTTTAAACAGTAACAATTTAAATCAAAATTTTCAAACAAATGACGTTATACGTAGCCAATAACGTATTATACGTTATCTATAACGTTACAGTAAAACAAATGATATACAAATCCTTGTACATATATTAAGACAAAATAAATTGCTAGAGCCACTAAACAGCATTTCTTCAGAATTTAAATAATACGAAACCGTTTTATCGCAAAATAAAAAAACATCTAAATTTATGCTTTAAAAGTGAATGAAAGGTTAGACTTAGTTACTATTTCTTTTTTTAGGACCAAGGAAATTAATTAATTCCCTATTTGATAAAACAACCTTATTACACTGATGTAAATATAACATGTACTTGAATGCTATTATTTCGTGTCGGTTGCATTGTTTTTTTTTGTTTTCCAGTCGCAACTAGAACGCACAGAAAACGAAATTCTAGAACTTAGTCATAACGCCGTCAACCTGAAATCCAACTATCTCGAATTGACAGAACTCAAACACGTTCTCGAAAAAACCCATGCATTTTTCGAAGAGGTATGTATTTTCATAAATTGTATTTATCAGGGCTTGGAACCACTTTGAAAACACTTTTTTTGGACATGAATATGTCTTATGTTATTTCAAAATTAGCGAAACGATTTTCAGTAAGATAAAAATTTGTCCCATCTCTCCTTATCACATTTCCTCATCTCAACACTTCTTATCACTTGTCGTTATTAGGTAGGTCCAAAAAACATGTTCATGATTCATATGTTTATTCTTAAGAGGAGGAAATTTATTTTACTTTTCTTTTTCATTTTTTGACATGAACATTTGGCTTTATGACTGGGGTAAACTTAAGATTTGCGTTAACATCTTCGCACTACGAAATCGGTCACGTTTGATAGAGCGTATTAATAAAAGATAATAGATTAGACTTAATCTAGATTTAATTAATCTATTTATCGCTCGTTGGAGATAAGATGGTGATAAGGAGATCGATATTCCCTGGATGACTGATAAAAGTTAATTGATAATTAAATCAGCTAATTAATTAGAAATAAATTATGAGATAAGACATATTTGTGATGTAATGTTTTCCCTCGAAGGGAAAAAAAGGTATTTTTTTGCTTGTAAACGCTTCGCATCGTCCAGTTCATTTTGACTATCAACTGAACTGTCAGTCGAAATAAGAATAACAAAAAAATCGATATCGCCTTATTTTTTATTGTTCAATTTTTTTTGGAATAATAATTTGTTACTGAATTTTTACATTAGATTTATTGGACATTATATTATATACTACATGTTATAAATGTCCGATAATGGCCAAAATCAACTGGGTAGGTTTGGTATGACGTTTTAAGAGGTGAATTTAAAAAAGAAATTTCTTTAATATCTATTCTTTTTTTCTCTGTTACTTTTAATGTAATACCATATGTATACAGGGTCCCTATATAGTTCACCTAAATTCAAATGTGACCTACATGATGACTTATGTATACGATATCTGTTATTAAAAGTTGATAATAGAGATCCTATCTCATTTGATAATAGTCATATAAAAAGAACTAGTTTTGTACCATCTGCTCAGTTGAACTTAGTAATAACTAATCTTTTGGAACGACCTGAATGATACAACGGTACACAACTTATTAAATCAATTACTTAATTATTTTTAATCGTTTCAACCACGCACAATTATTGTTTTAGCAAAACATTGTGTTATTTGTTGTACTACTTTACACATTATAAACAAAATGTATTGTTTTTCTTAATTGCTTTTAAGTAAAAAAAAATTACTTAAAAGAATTTGTTTGTTCTATTTATATCTCAAATTGTACCATTAGACTGCTTTTTAAAATTTGATTACTTAACCAAAATACTAAAAAATTTAAAATAGATTAAATCTGAAATTGAGAATAAAATTCTACCCCAAAATTATATGGCACATACCAGCCAACCTGTGGACGCTTTTTTTGTAGCCGGAAAAATAGTGTTACATATAAATTTAACAAGATTCGTTCTCCTAAATTTCAAAATTATTATTACTTTTTTATATAACCGTTATTGAATGAGATACTCTAATTGCAATAACTTTATTTATATATATATATATATATATATATATACAATTGTGTGTAATTCAAATAGTACTATAATTTAATAATAGTGCAGTTCAGAGTGTTTGCATTTTTTTTTAACAATATCTGCCAATAATGAAATTATAACAAAAAAAAATTATCGTTATTATTAGTTGCAAGGCCTGAATCTGAATCCGGTTAGGGTATGTGAGTTATTCACCACGTGCATGGTGCACACAGCGTATAATAATAATTAATAAATAACCAAATTATAATGATATATGCAATGTACATCGCCATAAATCAGTTTTATGATAATGATAATATTATTAAATATTACCAAGATACACTCCACAGCTCTCTGTGTTATGCAATTTATTTGTCCCAGTCATTTCCGTTTGGTGAATTTAATAATAAATAAACTAAACGTACACACCTATCGCGTTTGCCTCAAGTGTATCTGTTATATATAAATATATATAATTACTAATCAAATTTGGTACACAAATAAATGCAGAATCTCCATATTGGCGAGATGACAGGAGGTCGGGTGTAACGCATTTTAAACTCTAGGGTTAAATTTAACCGTTCCCGGACATGGCTGTCGCGCTTAGGTGTGAATATATTTATATTATTATAATTGGAATAACAAAATAATAACTTTCGAAAGACCATTAAACGATTACCATAAATCCTATTTCCTGTTCTGACGTAGGCACTTGTCGTATACATTAGCAAAGTTTAATAATTATACAATACAATTTTAACTTGATGGAAATCATTTAAATTCGTTGAATATTATTTGGCGACAAATGTTCATGCATACAGGAATAATATCATGGTACAAAATTTATTTTAGTACAACATTATTGACATGAATATTATGACGTCTTTAGCACATATCTCTTTCCTATGATAAGTGTGGATGATGTGGGGGTGGGATAAAGGAAATCCCTACTAATAAAAGAATCAGCTGATAAGAGGTGTGACATAAAATCATAAGAAACGTTCATTATCCAAAGTATTTTTTTTCGATGAATTGTTTTTAATAAAGAAATCTATTCTCCCTCCAAAAAAAATCTATTCTTAGCACGGTTTGCCTATTCTAATATGGCATAGTGATTAACCGATTTTTTAATACACCCTGTATAGGTATACTAGGTGCAGTCAATCGATTTTCAAAACTTTTCCCGTTTAGTTCTTGATAAATATCTAAGTGTTGTATACTTGATAATACATAAATATATTTTAAAAAATTCAAACTCAAGCCAATGTCGCAGTTTAACAATTATACAGCGAAACCGACAGAAATACACAATATTTTATACTTTTATATGTCTACTTGTGTAGTTCGACGAAATTCTAAAGGATAGTACTGCTATTCCCATTAGAGGACGACCTTTTATTTTTTTATATACATTATCGCCTAGTTTTTTATAATGTTTTCCACCCTGGCGTAAATCCAAATTGATTATTTTAAATATTTATGTAGGTTAACGCAACAAACCCCAAAAAAAGAGTGCCCTTTTTCAAAAATTAGGTAATTTTTTTTATCATACGTTATATTTTGTTAATCAAATTCTATTTGTACCTGTACTTGTTTAACGATTTTTTGTCAATTCTCGAAAGATTGATTAGAAAAAAACCTAATGAACATAACCCCCATAAGTACAAGGTGGTATTTGAAAATAGTATTGTCATTTTGCTCGCTTGTAAAATTGATTACAAAAAAATCACTTGTTTATTAATTAGGCCGTTCTATATGAAACTAAATCCAACACTTTTTAAATATTTTTTACGGTCACTGAAAAAATTTCATCCTCACATTTTTAGTTATTACTTGTAAATATTTTTTTCATAAAAATATACATTTTAAGGCGATTGTTTTTAACCGTTATGCAACACAAGATAATTAATTTTTTTTAAATATTTATTTTGTTTACCTGCCTTGTTCAAAGTTCTGAGTTATCTTGTTTAAATTTGAAAAAATATCACTTATATTAAATGTTGCCTAACTGATGATAACGTCCAAAATTCGAGTCAATAAAAATACATTAAGTCAAATATAAATACAAGTGGAAATGTCAACCTATCAAATGGAAGTTTAGGACAAGGGTGGCCGACCACGACTAGTTGGAATGAAGGGGAAGAAGGAGAAGAAATATAAATACAAAACTAATTATTTTTCAAAAACGAACCGTTTAATATAATTCTGCATATTGATTATTAATTTAATACTCTTTGCTCATTTATTTATTTTTTTTTATATTATTTGAAAGAGAAACCTTTCATTATAATATTTATCATAATATTAGCTTTGCGGTGTCGTAAGTTACCACTCCTTTTTTTTAAAAACTGGCGTTAAGGAATCTGTATTTTAACTTTTTCTTTTCATTTATTTCTAGCTCTTGTAGAAGAACCTAAAAAACCATAGAAAAAATATATATAAAAATAGGTCACATTATTTTGTAAGGTTTTTTTAATTTACAAAAAATGTTCATATTTCAGTTAAAATGTCTTTGTTTTGTAAGTTTATCTATCTTTTCTTTAAGTTTTCTTAAAAAAAATTAAACATGATCATTTGTACTGTAACGCCGCTTAGCAAACACCTCTTCTCATGTCATACAGTATGGATATTTTCTGAGATAGGACAGTGTTGGTATATAAAAAAAATAGTGATAATCAATATACCTATACCTATAGACATCTGAAAAGCTTAACAAAAATACTTGTGTTTACATTTTTTTCGAACCTTTTTGGGAGGGGGTTAAAAGCACTACCGGAAAAAATCAGCTACTATTTAAACCCTATAAGATTACAATTTAATGTACCGTATTAAAAAAAAATTCTAATATTAAATTAATTTCCATCTATTTCAACAATAGTTTAGATACGTTTATATTAACGAATTCAAATGACTAATAATAAATAATTTCATGTTAAATTAAACTAAAATATAAAATTACAAAATGAATTAAACCGTGTTTTTATGTATTAACTTTAAAAGTGGGATATTCGTAAATTATGCATTTTAATAATATGCAATTGGGTATTATGTAGTTGTTTAAATAAAATATTGGATTTCTCTTTTGATCGTTTTGATAAATAATAATGTTTTTATGAAACCAAACAACGGTGTACTTGAAATAATAATTTTCGTTTGCTGCGTGTACTACACACTATTATTATTATCAATTTATATTGTAAAAAAAAAAAAATAATATTGTTAGTTCAATTAAATCGTCAACTCCAGTCTACACTATAATTTGACATGGTAAATAATACTAATAACATTATACAAATAATATAAAATAAACAAAAAAGCTAGTTGCTAAATCGATAAAAATTATTTTATTAGAAGGTTTCTGCTTGTTATTTAATATTTTTAACTATAGGCCTATAGTTAAAAAAAGTTTGAAAATAATTGTTTTAGAAATTATATAGAAATATCACTAAAAAGTATCTAAAGAAATGCCTGAAAATATTAAAAAATACATACTCAATAAGTTAAAGTTGTGGTGGCAATTTGGGGTACAAACTATTATGATTTTTTAATTCGTGCCCAAGTACAATTTGGTAAAAAATAACAAATTAGGTTTCGATAAATAATATATCTTTGTATTTTATAAAATTACTATTGTAACCAATAATAATATTTCAATTAAAAGTAAAATGTGTCTCTTATATAATATTATGTCTAACTGAGTTTTATTTTTTTATTGTTCGTCATTTGAGCTTGATATGGATTTCTTAGACGTAAGTAACAATGAACAATGCCTTAAGCGAATTGTTGCATGGTTTTCTTTAATTTAGTTTTTTAGGCCTATATGCCGTCTGAAAAGCTTTGAAAATTTTTAGAATTTGTTTTTTTTATACTTATTTACCTATATATACGTTTCGTTTTGAAAACGATATAATTTGTGTGCCAAATTTGAATCCGAACACCCACTCATGTCGTGCATAATATAATATTATATATAATAAACCTGACATCGGTGTTAGGTTTTAGAAAAAAAATTCAGACCTTATAATCACCGTCTGGTATGCGATGGTTGTTTTATATATACATTTGTAATCAGATTGGAAAAAAACCTAATTTTACCAATAGCTTTTAGCTTGTATAGTATTTAGTATTCGGTATTATAGAGGAGCCTTTCCCCGGATTGCTTGCACTCCACATCAACACGTTTCTGCAGATTGGCCAAAAACATAAAACCAAAATTTACATTTCAACAGCCTACTTCCATAATTCAGCTGTACAATGTCAAAAGTAACAATATAATTTGGAAAACTGTACTGAAAAGCTTCATCTTGAGCTTGGTCTGACGTCACAAATGGCGATAACACAGTATTAGATATCAGTGTTTCCAACATGCTAAAGCTCGTCTATAATATTATTATTGATTGTACGTCATAAATCTGAAACGTAAAATAAGCAAATTTATTGGATAATAATAATAGGGTTTGTATTCACATTTTTAGTATTTTAAATACTAAATACTAATTGAATACCCCATTAAAAAAAAAAATAAGGTTGACAACAGTTCTGTGCTGATGATTTTACTAACTCATAATATCTAGATAAAGTCGCTCAAGCTCAAGATAATCTAGACGGGTTATACTGTTTTGGTAACGCTATAACTTAGCGGGTTGTCAATTTTCAGTAAATTGGCTTTCACCGAAATGGTTGGCTAATGTTATTTTGACGAAGTACAGCTGAATTTACAATATGTGATAACATAAGACATTGTGTCACCACGATTGTTAATTATTAATGACTGTAAATTAAAATTGGGTATTATCTATAATGGCAGCACTGTATTATCTAAAGTGGCTGCACTGTAAAGTCGAGTCGCCCTCCAAAACAAACTTTTTACGGAACGGCTGCTCTATATCCACATTACTCTGTGCCTTATGGCATGTAGTATTTTGTTTTATAATATAATATAATATTGTGTATGCTAGTTGTATAATAACATTATATAGACCTCCGATACAGTAGTTGTTTGAAGTAGAAATAGTAGTGTTTTTTTTTTTTTGATTTGTCCTTTAGAGTTTCTCTTTTCAACAGCAAGACGGCACCAACTCGTCGGGCCAGGATTCTCTGACAAAAGCTCTAATCAGCGACGAGGCTCTTAATAGTCATTCGTCCCAAGTCACTCGGGGCCGTCTCGGGTGAGTAGTGCAGCATTTTTTTTTTTTTACACAGCGATAGGCACACAAACACGAGAAAAAACATATTACACCCAGTTATATTCTAATATTACTTTTGGACACAAGGGTTGGGATAATTTTAAAAAAAAATGATAATAGAAGTGGAAAAAATTTCCTTCTCTTTTAGAGAAACATAATATGTATCATGAATATGTTTTATGGCACCCAATCACTCCTAAACTTAACTCAACATTTCACACAATTCACCTATCAACTTAAGTAAGAATAAGAGATAAGGAATTGTGATAAGGAGGTATGATAAGAGATAAAGAGGATTGATAAGGAGGCACATCGGTCAAAATAAATCATATTTTGATGTTACTGAAAAGTGTTACGCAAATTTTAAACTGACCCCAGCCATAAAACATTTTCATGTTGAAAAATGTACTATCTTCCATCGGCATCAGTGTTGCCAGATTACGGTTTATTTATCCTTAATTTACACGTAATAATTGTTTTTAGTGTAATTTTAGAGAGCCTAAAATGTTTTGTACCTTTTTAGTGTGTAATTTTTAAAGCCAAATGATTTTCATTTATACAAAATATATTACATACATTATTATTATTATTTACTCGTGAATACCATTGGGGTAGTCATTATCGATAGATCTGGCAACACTGAATTCGGCGGATACAATTTGGAGGATTTGAGATTCGTCATTGCAAACGTCCTACGCAACCCGTTACAATGTATTATGCCAGTAAGTCTGACAAAATACAGGGTGTTCGAAAACCGAATATCACAATACATGGGGCTATAATCCACAAGAGATGCTAAAAATATATATTTTGAAATATTTCTTTCCTTGACAAAATTGCGGTTTCTCTTAACCATTTTTTTAGAAAATCTAATAATTTTTTTATTTTTTTTTACACCGTTATTTTATGATTAAAATCGGAAAACCCCAAAATTTTGGAAAACAAATTGTATAAAATGAACGTTTAGCACCTCTTGTAGAGTGCACCATTGAATTTTCATTCGCCCTGTGTATTTCCAAAAAAACTTAGTTCACACAAACTATAGCGTTCACCGAAATAAAACGGGAAGTTAATTTGTTTAATTTTTTTTGTTTAATGACATTTTTTACGAAGTGTTTTATTTTGGTTTTACCCAGCTGTGTTGATGATTTCGCATGTTGTGTTTAACAAATAATAACAAATATTTATACGTGTTGGGTGTTTTAAATTGATGTATGTGTGTACCTAGAAATTTGCATTTTTTTTTTTTGTATATTTGTGACTCCAATAAATTACATACGATATAATATCGTATAAATATTTTTTGGATCTACTTACGCGTCCAAAAAAATATATAACAATATTAACAAGAAGTGTTATTTCCTAATGTTTTTTTTTTTTTAAGAAAGGTCGCAATGTATTTTTTACAGGCCTTTGTATGTAATCTGTTTTAATATTTAAAAAAAAGGAACAATTTCTTTTTGTTCATATTCAATGTTAAAGAGCGCCTGTCAATTTGTAACACGTAGAGTTAAAATGAAATTCTAAAATCTATATTTAAATTTGAAGTATTAGTGTTTAAATTTCAAAAGTGTAGACTTATATTATTTTAAATTAATAAAAAAAAATCTCGGTTCATTTTATTTAAAGTAACTAGATAGTAGACAGGCCACAATAAGGTTCTGTTTTACGTTTGTATACTATTAATACTGAGAAATTGGCGGCCTATTCTTAAAAAAATTATATCAACAATAATGTAATAATTAGTTGTGTATTTGGACGTTAACCATGGCTGTTCGGCAGGTTCGTTGCCGGAGTCGTGCCCCGAGAACGAGTACCAGGATTCGAGCGTATGTTGTGGCGCATCAGTCGAGGCAATGTGTTCCTTCGGCGGGCAGAACTCGAAGAATCCCTCGAAGACCCAGCCACGGTAAACGATGAAGTTTTAATTAATTTCAAAATTACCCGTTAAATAATTATCTCAATAATGGTTTGAAATAAAAAATACAAATTCTAAGAAATCGGTAAAACTCTTTCATCATAATATACCTATTAATTTTTTTTATACTAAGCATTATTTTTTTTTTTAATATTTATCACTTTAAATCGATACTTTGTCTGAGCCCTCGATTAAACTCTTAAACGATTTTTTTTTTTTGTTTTCAGGGAAATGAAATCTTTAAAACGGTGTTTGTCGCCTTCTTCCAAGGCGAGCAACTCAAATCCCGCGTGAAAAAAGTGTGTTCCGGTTTTCACGCGTCCTTTTACAACTGTCCGAGCGCTCATTCTGAGAGACAGGAGATGTTAAAAGGCGTCAAGACCAGACTGGAAGACTTGAACATGGTAAATTTTTCTCGGATTTAGTGTGGAATATAGATAATGACACAAGACAATGATGAATAGGATAAACGGGTACCAAAAGAGTTTATTCGTATGTCATTATCAATGTTTTTGGCATATCTGAAAAATTGTCTATTAAAAACAAAGAAGACAAATCAGTTAATAGCCACTTCCTCCACACCCCTGGCTTGCCCCAAGTCTGGGATAGGTCATTCCTGGCTGATCCTTTCAAAGCCGCGCCTCACATGTTGATAGGTCGTTTGAAAACAAGCGACATTGGAAAACTATGGTAGCATTTATTTAACATGGTAAATTATGGGGATCACGTTTCCCCTAGGTTTGTACACCCAACATTGGTACCTCACACCCTTTTTGAGTTTTGAATTTTCCGTCAGGGATAGGGAAAGGTTAAGAAGTTGGCAACATTGCTTTATAACGTTCACTGTCCGGGCAACAGTTTATTACGGCAGTAGATTCGTATAATTGAAATTAAATTTGATATTCCCCAAAACAACTAAGATGATCACAGTTGTCAGTTGCAATGGGAATTATCATACTCCTGAGCCTGGCCCTCTTAAAATTGGACTTACAAGTTTATTGGGTAAATAAAAATCCAAACTTTTCTATGACCGCCGTATTTGGATTTTGGCCTTTGAATGATAACGAAGGGAAAGGTTGAAAACAATTTTTTCATTACTGAAAACTAACCATTTGTTTTATATTATCGTGTACAGGTGCTAAATCAAACCAGGGATCATAGGCAACGCGTGCTGACGACTGTAGCAAAAGAATTGCACAACTGGGGCGTGATGGTGCGCAAGATGAAGGCCATTTACCACACGCTCAACCTGTTCAACATGGACGTCACCAAGAAATGTCTGATCGGCGAGTGTTGGATACCGGTCAAAGACTTGCAGTTCATTAGACAAACATTGGCCGAAGGCAGTGTAATGATACGAATTTATTAATTTTATACTCGTGTATTTAAGAGCGAATCGGGGGGAGGAATGAGAAAGAAAGAGATTGTCTTCTCTTATAGGAGAAACGTATGAAACATGAATATATTTGATGACATTTCTAATCTTATCTAAACATTTCACCTGATAAAATAAGGACGAGTGATAGGAGAAGTGATAAGAGATAAGTGATGAGTGATAAGAGATAAGCAAGTGTGATAATGATAATAAACAATACCCGGATAAGAAGAAAACGACAACACAGAATAACACGGGATAACTTATTCTTATGAATTATCGAAATCGGTAAAATCGTTGGACAAACCCGTGCCAAAAATCGACCATAATTAAAATTTCCTCTTTGTTGTCGAAACTGATTTCGCACGTACTCCGGTTGGGAAATTAACAGTGTTGCCAGAAGTAAGAGAAAAAGGGTTGACATATTCATACCGTCTTCCCCGATTTGTCCGCGGGTTTGGCAAATCATCACTCTTGTGAGAACCCGTGTAATTCTTGAAAACTGTCCCTTCCGCTCTGACGATAATCCCTGGACAACAGCCGATAAGAGATAACTGATAAAATAACACGAATTTAATGTGTTTAGCTTTAGCTGAAAATTAGTCGATGGCCGTCTACCACGTTGTACTGCGAATTTTGCATACCACAGTTACGCCCTCTCCCCTCCCTCTCCTAAATCGCGCCATTTCTAATATTAGAATATGTATTTATAGGTAAACGTTTTCCGATGTATATCAATTGTTTCGTTTTGTTTGCAGAAAGCCGTAGGCAGCTCAATACCTTCTTTTTTAAATATCATAGAAACGAATGAAAAACCACCGACGTTTAATCGGACCAATAGATTCACACAGGGCTTCCAAAATTTGGTCGATTCGTACGGCATAGCCGGCTACCGAGAAGTCAATCCCGGTGAGTATTATTTTCATCGATGGTCTTCTTTGGTTTGTGCCGTATTTGTTTATAACATATGTTTTTATTTTGTTTTTAGCTTTGTACACTATAATCACATTCCCGTTTCTTTTCGGTATCATGTTCGGCGATGCCGGACACGGAATTATTTTGACCGTATTCGGCGCCTATATGGTTTTGTACGAACAACAACTGTCCAAAACGAAATCTTCAAACGAGGTTTGTGATAAAAATAATATATTTTATTATATGTATTAGACCGACCCAAAAAAAAAAAAATAACCTAACCTGTCCTACCCGGGAAATCTTTAATTAAGAGTAAAAAAAAGAAAATGTCAAAATTTGAACTTGATTGGATAATATTTAAAGGTGACTCAAAGCTATTTTGTTCATTTAATTAAAAAGTGTGGGATCATATCTTTTTTTCTTTTGGCTAAGTATATCTTTTACAATCGGTCTAGACTAGTATCTAAAAATATCAATTATTTTGCTAGGGTTAAAAATTAATTGCGAAGGCGTTATTGTCGCAGACCGCAAAAAAAAACCTTATTAGTTTCAACAAATGTGTGTAGTAAAAAAAACCCTGTTAAAGGTGTTAAGTTATTATTTACACCTACGTTTGAGTTTTTTTTTTATTCACTTACATTGTATAGTTGTCCAATAGGCTATCGTGAGCGACAGGGTAGTTTAATCCTCACCGTAGTATTATGTATAAATAAATCCTTTTTCGAGGACAACTGTGTGTCGCCAAATGGATTGGTTTCGAGAACTCGTGTCGAACATATTTACAAAAAAAGTAAAAGCGAAAAATATAAGAAAAAAATATAAACTTCAATAAAATCAAACTCAAACTGCATCAAAGACTTACCTGAGCTCTTCGTGTTAAAACTAAACGACTTTATCAGGAGAAAATCCCTCCTCTTTATTATATAGAAATTAAAAACTCAATATTAAATCCAAAATACTTTTATACAAAACTCTTTTAATGCCAATTTAGACTTAAGGATTATATCTTTATGGGAGCCGCTAAGCCATCAAATATTCGTAAATCGAATACCGGAGCTCCTTTTTATCTTCTAACCATACTCATTCCTGGAAATCCCCAAAGACGTCTCAAACGCCGGTGGTGCAGAGTCTTTAAATTCAAAAAGTTTAAATTAAAAAAAAATGCCTTAGCTAATTTTACTTAATTCTTGTTGTTAAAAAGTAACATCGCTGCGTGATTTTTTTTATCTGTTATAAAAATGCATGTCTTTATGTTTTATATAATCGCACATAACACGCTTATTGTATTTAATATTTGCAGATTGTATGTTGTCTAAAAAAAAATTAAACTACAAATAAATATACAATTAATTATGTCTGCGCGAAATGTTCTCGTACAAGCGAGTCCAGTCGCTATGTATTATGTAAAAATTTGTACGAATTAAACGTTTGGTTTTGGTTTTTTTTTTAGATTTGGAATATTTTTTTCGGTGGCCGCTATATCATATTGCTCATGGGATTATTTTCCATATACACCGGCATCATTTACAACGACGTGTTTTCAAAGTCTGTGAATATTTTCGGTTCCAGTTGGTCCGTTCACGTGAGCGCAAAAGAAGTTTTGGGCAACAAGTCCATCACGTTGGACCCGGCCACCGTCGATTATTCACAAAAACCGTACCCCTTAGGATTGGATCCCGTTTGGCAGGTACATACAGTATTCAGTTTTTTTTCTATACACAAATATGTCATATGGCCTGTAGAAAATTTCTTTGACGTTTTTGTGACATAAAGTAGTGGGGAGAGGTTGCGATAAGTGATTAGTGAGATTGGGATGGTGATAAGGGACAATCGATAATCTCTGGATAACGGATAACGGATATTGTTGACAAGCGAATGAGCCTGTCAGAGATGAATGATAAGTGAATCGGCTGATAAGAGACGATCAATTGGAAAATTCCATAAAACATATTCATGATCTAATGTTTTTCCCACGAACGAAACAAATGTAATTCTTTTCAAGATAAAATATGTAATTATTTACATAAATATATCTTATGGCAAAGATAAAGGAAAGAGAGAAGATAAGTGATATGAGGGGTGATGGATAAGGGAAATGAAAATTTCCTGAATAACTGATAAGAGATAAAAAATCAAATGGTGGCATATGACATGTTCGTGATAATATTTTTTATTTTGTTTGTAATTTGTTAATAATTATTTAAGGGTTGTCCTTAATTTGGGTTTAGCGAAATTTCAACTGGCAAATCTCCTTGATTAAGGACGGTAATTAATCAAATTACATAATCGGTTAAAAAACAACCGTGATCACTTACATAGCGTGTGTTAAACAAGAATTCTAGGACAAATAGTAAAAAAAAACATTTTTCGATCAAAACATTTTAGTTAAAAAAGAAAAAAAAAATTTAATTTTCAAACTGTTGAGTGATATATTAACTTGTTAAAACACACATTTTGTATGTTTTTTTTAAACATACAATTTTTTCAAAACCTGACAATATTGGTGCAACATTTTTTTTTTTAATATTCATTTCGAACTAACAGGGAATTTACTCGTTAAAATGCTGTTAATCCCGATAAAATAAGGACACGGGCCAAATTGTTTGTACATATTTATTGTTTTGTTTTAATTATGAAAGGTGGCTGTGAATAAAATCATATTTCTCAATTCGTACAAAATGAAACTGTCGATCATATTCGGTGTCGTTCATATGATGTTCGGCGTCATACTAAGCGTTGTCAATCACGTGTGAGTTTCCATTTTGGTCTGGAATAATACCTAAAATAATGTCAATACCGTTAACACTGGTGTTTTTTTGTTTTTGTTGTAGACATTTTAAGAAAAAGCATAACATCCTACTGCAGTTCATCCCGCAAATGCTGTTTTTGGTGTTGCTCTTTTTTTACATGGTGTCGTTGATGTTCTTGAAATGGGTCTGGTACGGTCCGAAAAATCGTACGTAACATTACCGTTTCGTATTCGTACGAGAATTGATTTTTAATTTTGACAATTTTACAGCTCTGAAAACTAGCCCAAGGTGTGCGCCGTCCGTGCTCATCATGTTCATCAACATGATGTTGTTCAAACACACCGTACCGTTCGAAGGATGCGACGAATACATGTTCGAAGGACAAGTACGTTGAGTTATTAAAATCACACACAAAACAGCTAACGTTTTAACATGAATATGTTTTATGGCTGGGGTCGGTTCAAAAGTTGACCTAAACCGCTTTACGGTGACATCAAAATCTGTCCCATTGCAGTTGACCTATATAATAAGAGATAAGAAGATTTGACAAGAGATAAGGAATTGTGACAATAGATAAGGAATGATAAGTTTGTTGTAGAGGCACTCTTCTAATAATAGCTAATGCTTTTTGAGTGGTCGGTATATACTTTGTACGATGTTTCACGGGTCGCCATTTTTATTCCAACTATTATTTTACATTGATAGTCCTGTTTAACTGGAACTTTAATGGCGATCAACGAAGTTGTGATAAGATTGATTGGCCGTTCTCTGACTATGAAGGCTCTCTAGTTCTTAGAAGAAGATGGGTGCCATAAGACATATTTGTGATTTATATTTTTCTCCTTTGAAGAGGGGGAAATTTGTTTAAATTACATAAAAATCTTTTTTTCAGGAACGTTTGCAAAAAATATTCGTCACTGTTGCGATAATGTGCATACCTGTAATGTTGTTGGGCAAACCGTTGTATGTAATTTTATACGAGAGGCGTCGTAAAAAACGTCAGGTACTATCCTACTTATCTAGGACTGCTATACAATATTTTATTGTATCAATGTGTGTGTTTGTGTGTTCATACTTGTATTTAAACATCAAACGTGTGCGCAGGGCGAGGGTTGTACGGACGTCAACGGCAGTATCGAACTCAAAGAGACTGAAGTGAGCACCATGATCGACGATCCGGCCAGTCACGAAGAAGAAGAACCGGCATCAGAATTGTTCATACACCAATCCATCGAAACAATCGAATACGTTCTCAGCACGGTTTCGCATACGGCTTCGTATTTGAGGCTTTGGGCGCTGTCGCTGGCGCATGCACGTGAGTAGTAAAACTATTAATGTCCGGTGTTTGACTTGGAGAGGGGAGGGGGAGCTTTCTTATCTCTTATCTTATCATATGTCCTTATCACTTATCACATTTTCTTATCTCTTATCACTTATCGTTATTGAATGGGTGCTAAAAAACATTCATAATTCATATTTTTTATCCTTTATGACGAAGAAATTTCTTTCCCGTTTTTCGACGTGAATCCGAATTATGCGTGGACTTTTATAAAATTTAAAAAACATATCCATGGTGCAATGTTCTTTCAAAAGAAGAAGAAACGTTTTTTTTTTTGCATGAATATGAGAGGGGCCGTTGAGTTAGGTTGGTTTTGGCTTCTAATTAAAGTCTTTCGTGACCATAATTTTAGTCTTATCACATAAGCTAGTTGTACATACTGTATAGTTCCTATACAATAGAATGTTTATATCAAATAAAAAATTTTTTTTTTAATTTGTATGAAATTTTCTTCGGGCATAGTACAAACCGAAAAAATACCTAGAACTAGGAGGGGTGTAAACTTTTTCTTTATTTCGCTATTTTATGTGAATTTTTAGGGTTTAAGGTCTGAAAGTTATAACACCGAAGGTATACATCCTATAACGTCCTCCGTGTCCTTGTTGTTTTTTTTTTAATTTTTTTTTCATTTTCTATATTAGAATTGTCCGAAGTACTTTGGAACATGGTGCTGAGGATGGGATTGACGAGCGAAACGCATTGGGGTGCCATCAAACTGTACTTGACTTTCGGCATTTGGTCGATTTTCACGCTGGCCATACTCGTCATGATGGAAGGCCTGTCTGCATTCCTACACACACTCCGATTGCACTGGTACGTATATGATATGCATTGTATTACATTATTAACGACCGTTTTTTTGATTGTGTGCACGCGTTGTGTCTTAATTGTTATTCGTCGAGTGTAGGTACTATTGTAATTCTCAATAGGTAAAAGTACTTATCCCATGATAATGACACCGATAAATGAGAGTACTGCAGAAGTAGTTGGCAAAATCGGGTCGAAGCAATAATTATATGAAATCCGAATGTGATTTTATCACGATCAAACGGTTCTATATGCGAATTTGCAAATTGTAACAATTCAGCACAGTAAGAAATTACCAAAGTGGGGACCACTATAATATCCACTGATTCGCATCGAAGCTAAAAGTATGGACTTGTCTATAAGGTATAGGCTTCAAATCACGATTGAAACGCAACAACTTATATTTCATTTTTATTGACTTTATCATCTACAATCTGAGCCCGACAGTCGATTTCACGCGTAAATTGAAATAAAACAGTGTGACCAACTTGATGATTTGGGCAAAAATTGAACATATCAGGTCAGGTGTTGCATCTTAAGCGAAATGCTTTTGTGGTCGTTGATTTTTAAATTTGGTAATAGTTTTTAGTTTTAACCTTTGACGATGATTTTTTTTTTAAACATTTTTTTCGAATTTGGTATATTTATTTTGTAAACTCATAATATCCTTAAAAATACATAATAAAAAAAAAAAAATGATATGCCGACTAATTTTTCTCGTTTATAGATAAAGGTTAAGTTGTTAGTCTAGTTTGATTTTGGACTAACTCTATATAACGTTAAACAAAAGGCAAGACAATTTTTTTTTTTAATGGATTTTGAAGGCTTAAACCGTTTGATTGTGATAGAATAACATTCGGATTTAACGTAATTGCTTTGACCCAACTTTTTGCCAACTACTTTTGTACTCATTTAGACTCTGTTAGGTATTTTGTTTGTTTAAAAAAAAATATATATATATATATGTATATAATATTTATGGTGTATAAAATAATATGAATTATTTAAAAAGACAAAAAAGTTAATACTAATTAATATCCTTGATAAGACTAGACTAGACTAACTATTTGTATTATTATTTATTTTTTTTGTCTATTTAATTTATTTTATATTATTTAAGCAGCACGTTGAAAAATATGTTTATAATATTGACAATTTTTATTTTTACCAACAGGGTGGAATTTATGAGCAAGTTCTACGTGGGCAACGGACACGCATTCCAGCCGTTTTGGTTCAAACACGTACTCGAGACCGAAGAATCTATCGACGACTGAAAATTTACGATCGTACCTATTTTTTTTTTTTTTTAGTTTCCCTCCCTGCGTCTCTTTTAAAAAACAATTTTTTTATATATACCAGTTAGCCAATAATGTGTACGATATATTTATTATGTTTTAATATTTACATATATATAATAATTTAAAATTTCTTTTTTTTTTATTCTATTCGTTATCGTTGTACGTAATAATATTTTTATTGTTGTTGAAAAACTTGTATTTAAATAATCGAACTTTAGTTAAGAGTTTTTTCTTTTACTTTTATTATTATTTTTTTCTTTTACATAATTTATCAAACTACTTTTTTGTTAGTGTGCACTGCCACTAAATATAAATAATAGCTTTACGATACTGTATCGCGTCTTGACCGTTTACCGATTTTGATAATATTTCCGTCACGCATATCATACGAAAACTCTTTTCTTTTTTTTTTTATCGTCTACGAAGACCGTTTACGTTTGTTTTGACATTACCAATGTAAAAGACGTTAAGTTTGTCTTACTTGTTTTCATCTAGATACTTGTACAGGGTTATGACCTATTAGGTGTTATATGGCGTGATAGCCATTTTATTTATAAAAAAAAAATATGTATTAAATATCTATTTCTTTTGTTTTGTTACCTCTTTGCCCATTCGAAATGGCACACATCACAGCGTTGTAACAGTCGTCGGGAAAAAACATTTTTGTTTGAATCGAATAATAACATGTTTATATATTATATATACATATATATATTTTTATTATCGTTACGAATCACTATTTTTAATTTAAACTAATAATTACTTTATAAATTTAACTTGCGCATTTATAATAACAAATATATAACGTACACGACGACGCCACTCGACAATCACGAGCAATTTTTCAACGTGCATTCGAACCTCGATATTCTAATAACCTAATTGTTTAAATATTTATATGTTTAATAACAAAACATTAATAATCTTATTGTATTAATATATTCAGTGCCTTATATTATTATATCGCTTGTAAAAAAAAAACATCAATTTTTTTTTATTATTATATTCTATTCGTTAGTCGTACGGGTTAAATTCGATTAGTATTCTAAATTAGAATTAAGCGATCGTTCAACGATTACATATATTTTTGTAGAAGACGAGCAATGAAGGATAATTTAAACTTCACATTTTCTAAATTTTTTTTATTTGTTTGACAATCAAAATATTAAAATTTACTCTAAATTTACTAAAAAAAAGTTTAAAAATGCTGATTTTGTTTGTATCTTGTATTTTGACAATCCCATTATTGTAACTGCGCATTTTTCATATTTTCTTCGTTTATCGATTACGACAATAGTTTCTCTTAAGTCGTGTTCGCAAAAACCCATTCCGACTGAAGTATAATTTTTCTTTGTTCTATTAAAAATATTACTCGTAATTATTATCTGTAACGTTTGCGTGAAAGCTCAGATATTTTATTGAATTTAAATGATAACTTTATATCGTAATGTTATTTATTTAATATATATATATTTATAATACTGTATTATAGTATTTCTACTAATTTGTCCACGACTCTTCGTTAATACAATAACGATAGTTTTCTTCTTGACTTACCTGTTTTACAAATGCAATTATAATATTGTCGTTTCTTGTTACTGTGAGAATGTAACGTACCTCTGTTCTTTTAATTATTATTATTATTAAAGTTTGTAATATACAAAGTTGTATACAAATTAAAACGCCGCCATTAAGAGAATCTATGTAGCAATAAACATCTTATTACTATATATATATATATATTTATATATATATATATGTATATTATATTCTAAAGTAGTTTTTAACTTTATTTTTTTTAATTTAATCACAATATATTATCTGTAACCCAATGGAAGATTTATTATAATTAATAATAATATATCTGTCGTCGGATTAGCTACAGACGATTTTTTTTTTCAATACTCGTAATGCTCAATGATTGGAATTTAATTCTATAGCTATAAGTTTGGAATTTAAATATTTTAAAATTACTTTTTAAATTAAAAAAAACCACAAACAATAATCATTTAGAGTTAGTCAGTTTTACGGGTCAGTCGACGGACGACGAGAATAGTTGTACAGGGTTTCCGTGTAGGTATCGACCGATCGTACCATTACTGTCGGAACAATTTCCCATCCGAAACCGATCGATCTGTTTTATTCCCTTCGAATTAATTAATTTACAAAAAATATCATTAAAATGATTTTTTTTTCCTTTAGCCCACCTGTTTGTAATAATAATCTTTTATTTTTGTCGCCATTACTCTATTATAATATATAATGTAGAAGTTATGATAATATATCTATAGTTAAGCCCTCAATATTGTCGTATATTACGATAAATAATGTTTAAATATTTTGTTTATCGTATTCATTAATTAATTATATTTATTTATTATATAGTTTATACATTTTACTCAAGTTGTTTGTTTTTGTTTTTCTAAGATTTTTTTTTAGTGGGACCAAAGTAATATTATACATATATTTAGCGCCCGTTTGTTACCTACCCAAAGTGTCATAAATGTAAAATATATCGAATCGCGATTAAAAATAATAACGATTTCTAAGTAGCCGAATTTACCAAAAATATTATAAAGTTATATTATACTTGTAAAATTTTAACCTTAAAGTCTTTTTTTAATATAATATTATTTACAACATGTCTTTAAATAATAGTTGTTATTTTAATTTTTTTTTTTTTATCTCATTAAAAGTACCATATGTTTTGGGTAAGTTTGTACTGTATTTTGAAACTGTTGTTTATTTTTAAATAATAATATATTATATTACAGACTGAGGTATTTAATGATAACTTGAATATATTATTACGTTATACATTTTAATAGTTTAGTAGAAAACAAACATGATTAAAAAAAAAAAAAAATTTTTCTTTTATTACAAATCTTCAATAATTAATATTAATGTATTTTATTCTTTGAAATATACTACTATAATTAAAAAAAAAAAAAGAATTATCATTTGTGTGTTTTAGTTTGTTCAAAATTTTAACGTCTCGTCGTTTTGATAAAACATTGTTATCGTAATTAAATGTATACTCAAGTTCAATATGCCCAAATTAAAGAGACGTCACTTTTAAAGAAACGTCACAATTAAACACCATATTGAATAGCAACGACAATCTATAGTGTTTTAAATCTTAAGGTGCAAAGATCATGTTTGAAATTTCATTACCGCAATGTGCACGGGTTTCGTCTTGACAAAATAATATTTTTGAAAACATAACGCTTTACGGACACAATTATTTTAAAAAAACACGGACAGGCAAATCTATTTATGTAGAATATTGAGCGTTTTGTAATTACAATACATATTATCAAACTTGAATAATAATTTATTTGTAAGTTGCAGTTAAAGTAAAAATTAAAAGGTTTTTGCTACAAAACTGTCAATAAGTAAAATATATTAACTAAAAAATTAACAAACTATAATATATATATATATATATATATATAATTTTATTTAGAAAAAAAAAGTTAATAATAAAACTATACATTTTCACTATCAATAATACGTCATGTGAGCAATCACTAACAAAATGTCCGCAGAGTGAAGTGGGGTCACATCTTAATCATTCAGATAAATAACCATTTTTGTAAAATATTTATTTAACATATCGCTTGAATATCTAATGATCTAAAATCATTTAGTAAAAAAAAATTAAAGAACATAAATAAAATGAAATAAAAATATAATCCAAAGAATATAAAATATGCCAAATTGTTAAACAACTATAATGAATTGTTGACTGTGCACCCAGCTATGTTATACAAGATTAGATTTTTGAGAAAAATATTATAAGTACACATACTATAGCTATTTATCGGCATCTACGCAATTGTGAAATTATAACTAATGTGATGAATTAGTTTTGAAGAAAATATTTCAACATTTTTAGGGCTTGTCACCTGTGTGCAACCGTTTGTGTACTGTAAGAGGAGATTTTTGATTGAATGACTTTAAGCATATATCACATTTGTAGGGCTTTTCGCCAGTATGTATACGTTTGTGTTTTGTGAGATCGGAGCCTTGAGTGAATGGTCTTAAACATACATCACATTTGTAAGGCTTTTCACCAGTGTGCAGGCGTTTGTGTTGTGTGAGATGGGGTTTTTGAGAAAATGACTTAAAGCACTCGTCACACTTGTAAGGCTTTTCTCCGGTGTGCACGCGTTTGTGTATTGTAAGTGTTTTTTTCTCAGCAAAATATCTTAAGCATACATCACATTTGTAAGGCTTTTCCCCGGTGTGCACGCGTTTGTGTAGTGCGAGGCCACCACTATAAGAAAATGACTTCAAGCACACATCACAATTAAATGGCTTTTCACCAGTGTGCACACGTTGGTGACTTGTGAGTTGAGATTTTCCAGAAAAAGTCTTTAGGCATACAACACACGTGTAGGGCTTTTCCCCGGTGTGCATGCGTTTGTGTTGTGTGAGATGGGGTTTTTGAGAAAATGTCTTCAAGCACACGTCACACTTGTAAGGCTTTTCTCCGGTGTGCGTGCGTTTGTGTACCGCAAGGACATTATGAGAAAATGACTTTGAGCACAGATCACACGTGTAGGGCTTTTCACCAGAGTGAAAGCGTTCATGGGCTATTAAGGATGAACGAAAAGTAAACGACTTTATGCACACCGTACATTTGTAAGGCTTCTCGCCTGTATGTATGCGATTGTGTATTTTGAGTGTTGAGTTCCCAGAAAATGACTTCAAGCACACATCACATTTGTAGGGCTTTTCACCAGTGTGCACGCGCAAGTGTGATGCAAGGTTTCTTTTAAACATAAAAGACTTTAGGCACAATGCACATTTGTAGGGCTTTTTACCAGTGTGCACAAGTTTGTGTGCTGCGAGGTAGCTTTTTTCAGAAAATGACTTGAAGCATAAATCACACTTGTAGGGTTTTAGTTGTACGTTTGTAGTGTGTACGCGTCGTTTGTGCGTTTTGACGCTGGATTTTCGAGTAAAAGACATTAAGCAAAGTTTGCATTTATAAGGCTTTTCTCCGGTGTGCATTCGTTTGTGTTCTCTGATGCTACTACTGTAAGAAAATGACTTTGAGCACAGATCACACGTGTAGGGCTTTTCTCCGGTGTGCATGCGTAGGTGTAGTGCAAGGGTATTACTATGAGAGAATGACTTTAAGCATATAACACATTTGTAGGGCTTTTCTCTGGTGTGCACTCGTGTGTGTACTGTGAGGCCTGCTTTACAAGTAAATTCCTTTAAACATATACCACATTTGTAGGGTGGGCCGATGTTTTTGGCAAATTGCTCAGCATACTTATCGCGATGCATGGGGTTGGTTTTTTTGCCAAGTTTGTTAGTTAAAGTTTTGTGGGATTTTATGATATGTAATGTTATTTGCTTTTTAGTGTTATACGAAGTTTGACAAAAATCGCATTGGTATAACCGCTTTTCATTTGAAACTTTGTCGTTATTCTTCGTTGTTATTTGATTACTGTTGTCCGTTTCCATCCACGATTTCAAAAAACATTTATTAATTTTCTTATTCGCTTCATTACTCGTACTGTTAACACTACAACAAATATGAGTAATAAGCGATACTGTGCAAACATTTTAAGGACTAAACAATTGATAATTAATTATAATAAATAAAAAATGACTTACATAAAAGTTTTTTTGTTGACTTGTTTTCCTGTGCTTTTCTGGGCTATCGAGTGTGAACTATGTGATTGAGCTATGTGTCGGCTTATTATCTTTTTGGTATTAAAAGATTTCTTACATACATCGCAGACAAATGGCTGTATTTCGTCGAAAAGTACATTTTTTTCCACTTCTATTTCAGACTCAAAAATATATCCATTTACTAAATCTACTTCGACATGGACACTCATTTTGTTGCAAGTTTCTCTGAAACTAATAGCCAAACATAAAACTATTTTTCAAAAAGCAATAGAAAATATCTGCTACGAGCAATGAATGCATAGAATTGTGTACAAATTATAATAAGTGTAGTTAGTTCACTAGTGAAACGAAATGTTTTTCATAACATTAGTATTTACAAAAAACTATTAATTTATTGAGATTATGACGACAAATTATCTGGTTTCTGATCATCTGAGTATGTTTATTTCATACTTAAAAAACAAAAGAAGTTAAATAATATGAAGTTTTTTTGAAACAAGTTCTTTTATACTAATGTTATTGATAATTGCATTTACCTGGTAATTATTTTTTTGTTTGTTTATCATACCATCAGATTCCGTAAGCCGTAAACTGTAGATTGTTAATTAAAATAAATAAAACAATGTATGTTATCAATGATGATGTTATTCGGCACTTACTATTTAAACAGCTACGAGACCACTGGTCAGGGTTCTGATTTCTTGATATAAATCAACAGCAATAAAACCGAAAACTTTTTAATACGACCACACGCAATATAATTTTGTTTGTATATTGGAGTTACATTAAGACTTGGGTAATGGGGAGTCTTGAAGTGAGACCATGCTCAATAGATAAATGATAATAAAAACAATAAAATAATGTTTTTATTATCTATGCCTGCGACTGTGAGGTTAACATAATTTGTATTATTTTGGGAACCACTGAGCCGACTATCCGAACGAAACATATTTTAATTTTTAATCAGGAGAATCGATTCTCAAATTCATATATTATTAAATATAATAATATGCAAACTACTTAAAAAAAAAAAAATATATTATGTAATCAACAGTTCTTCGGTGGTATTAAATGTTCAATCATTGACGGCAACCAACCAGATTAGTGGTAAATTAACAAAATCATTTTAAAATATAAATTAAAACTATTTTTATTTATAGTATTAATTGACATATATAATATAATATATTATTGTAAATTATGTGTGCACGCTTTTAAATAATCGTTTCCACGCGTGCCTAAATCACTTGCCTAACTCAAGAGAATTTGTATTTACTGTTTTTATAAGCGAAAAAACATGTCACTTTCCTTATGATTAAACTGTTATGGCTGTTATCATTTTTCTTTAGGTGACATCTTATACGTTACTAGCTTCAATTTCAATCAACAAGTTTTCCCGCGTTTTACTAATCTTTACGCTTTGTGAATTAACTTGACTTCATTTTGTGAATTTTACCGTTCACATTTCACGTTGTATTTCGTTTTATGATTAAAATCTTTATACATATATATATATATATTGTGTTGTTTCAAATTAACTTGAGTGAATTTCAACGATAATTACTACATTTTATTGTTCCAAGTGTTACATTATACACCTATAAATATGGAAGGTTTTGATACACCTGGTATATTTTTTTCCGATACTTTCGGCGATGATGATAATTTGGGATCGGCGTTACAAAACTCAAGAACTTTGAAAAAGTCCTTTAAAGATTTTTTGAAAACATACAACGAAGACAATTTTAACTACAAGTACAGGGATTCGTTGAAACGGAACTGCAATTTAGGCCAATTTTGGCTGGAAATCAATATCGAAGACCTAGCCGGGTTCGACGAGAACCTTGCGGACAAGTTGTATAAGCAACCAGTTGAACATTTACCCGCGTTTGAAGAAGCCGCTACTGAATTAGCTCAAGAACTAGTGGCCACAGACAATCCAGATGATATAGAACGCATTCAAATACTGTTGGCCACCAATTCTTTGCCTGCTTCGTTGCGCTCAATTAAATCCGAATCAGTTTCTCGTTTGGTCAAAATTCCTGGAATAGTTGTATCCGCTTCAAGTATTCGTGCAAAAGCAACAGAGATTACATTGCAATGTCGAGCTTGCCGCAATGTTTTGCCTCATCTGCCCGTGAAACCAGGTATGGATGGCTATGTCTTGCCAAGGAAATGTTCAACCGAACAAGCAGGACGTCCCCAGTGCCCTTTGGATCCGTATTTTATCATACCCGATAAATGCAAATGCGTTGATTCTCAAATATTAAAACTTCAAGAATTAAGTGATTCCACACCTCAAGGAGAAATGCCTCGTCACGTACAATTGTATTGCGACCGCTACTTATGTGAACGTGTTGTGCCTGGTAATCGAGTCATGGTGGTTGGCGTATACTCTATAAAAAAGGTAATTAAATATTTGTTATTTAATGTCAATTTATAAAATATAAATGAAAATTTAAACTTATCCATTTATATATTTTTTAAATATTAGGTGAAAACTTCAAGGAAGCAAAAACTCGCTGAAAACTCGAGAACTGTGGTTGGTGTCCGTGCTCCGTATTTACGAGTCCTGGGTTTTCAGCTTGATGACCAAGTAGGAGGTTTTACTACTGCAGTTCCTACATCGGTGGAAGATGAAGAACTTTTCCGTAAATTAGCATCCTCGCCTGACATTTATGACCGTCTCGCCAAGTCCATTGCTCCTTCCATTTTTGGTTTCGGCGATATTAAAAAAGCAATAGCTTGTTTATTATTTGGAGGTTCACGTAAAAGACTTCCGGACGGTTTGACTCGTAGAGGAGATATAAATATTTTACTTTTGGGAGACCCCGGTACAGCTAAGTCACAGCTGCTTAAATTTGTTCAACAAGTTTCGCCTATTGGCGTGTACACATCGGGCAAAGGTTCTTCTGCAGCCGGTTTAACAGCCTCTGTTACCCGTGATCCAACATCGCATAATTTTGTTGTCGAAGGCGGAGCTATGGTTTTAGCCGATAGTGGTGTTGTTTGCATTGACGAGTTTGACAAAATGAGGGAAGGCGATCGAGTTGCAATACATGAAGCTATGGAACAACAAACAATTTCAATAGCAAAAGCTGGTATTACGACTACGTTAAATAGCCGATGTTCAGTAATGGCGGCAGCAAATTCAGTGTTTGGCAGATGGGACGATAGTAAAGGCGAAGACAACATAGATTTTATGCCTACAATTTTGTCAAGGTAACAATCTTGTAAACTGCTGTCTGGCATCGTGTTTTAAAAGACGTGTAGTGAAAACTACTATTTATTGTCTTTATAATAATTTTTGTATTGAAATATTTTTCAGATTCGATATGATCTTCATTATTAAGGATGAACATAATCAAAACCGAGATATGACGTTAGCTAAACACATTATGAATGTTCACTTGATGAACGGTCAAAGTCAACAGGAAGTGGAAGGAGAACTACCACTGGCGACAATAAAAAAATTCTTGAATTATTGTCGTCAACGCTGCGGTCCTAGATTGTCTGAAGACGCGGGAGAGAAACTCAAGAGTCGTTATGTCCTCATGAGAACCGGCTGCCACGAATTGGAAACCGAAAAGCGACTTGCAATTCCCATCACCGTGAGACAGTTGGAAGCTATAATACGTATTTCCGAGTCGTTGGCCAAAATGCAACTTCAACCATTTGCCACAGATACCCACGTAGATGAAGCATTAAGGTTATTCCAAGTGTCTACTCTGAGTGCAGCTACTTCCGGCTGTTTATCTGGCGTTGAAGGTTTTTCAACCGAAGAAGACACGGAAACATTGCAGCGTATTGAAAAACAACTAAAACGTCGATTCCCAATAGGATCCCAAGTATCTGAGTTTAGCATAATACAAGATTTTCTAAGGCAAAAATATCCCCAAAGAGCTATCGATAAAGTTATTTATTTAATGATTAGAAGAGGCGAAATACAACATATTATGCAACGTAAAATGTTAATACGACTCAAATAATTTTAGTATTTTTTTTTTTCCTATTTTAATTTCATATTATATATACTTTTGTAACATTTTAATATAAATAAAGACTTAAACTAAATCTTGGTTATTTTTTATGTGCATTTTTTACATTATATTAATATACATTTTTATAGTTCTTAAATCTTTTTCTGCCTATAATTAAATTGTTGTAATTATCATGTCCTGTTACTGTAATTTATTTTTATTTTTAGATGTATTCAGATAATAATGTAACTATTTTGGATTCTTTTGACACCACTTATCCAGCCGATACAGTGGAATGGTGTCCAATTGAAAAATACCATCATATATTCGTATGTGGTACATACAAACTTAACGAGGAAAGTAAAACTAAAACGGGAGCTATAAACTTGTTCACTTTAGAAAATCAATCTACAATTAAGTTAATCCAGTGTTTGTCTGAAGATGCAGTATTAGATTTGAAATGGAACAATTGTTTATATTCTGGAAAAATATTGCTAGCTGCTGCATTGTCGGGAAACCATATAAGCGTTTACAGTTTAGGTTGATAATTTACATGTTCATTTATGAACTATAGTATATTTTTGAAAAATATTGTTTAGATGAACAAGAAATGAACCCATGCTTGAATATTTTCACCAGTTTTGATCTTCCAAAAACTTGTGGCGAGTCCCATATGAGTTTATCGATCGCATGGTCCAATTCAAATACAAATGGGTTATTTCAATTAGCGTTTAGTGACTCTAATGGGTTTATCACATTAGTTAATTTAAGTGATGGAATACTGCGTAGTTTCAAGGCACACGATTATGAATCGTGGATAGTTGCATACGATTTTTGGAATCACAATATCCTGTACACAGGTAAATCTTAAGACTATTTCTGTTTAAGAGGAGCATTGTTTCTGAATATCGCTTGCCTACAAAATATATATACCAAGTAGGAGGGTTGTTTAAATATTACATTTTTTTTTTTCAGGTGGTGATGATTGTAAGTTTAAATGTTACGACCAACGTACAGATTTCGATAAACCTGTATTTGTTAACAGTGAACACGAGCAAGGAGTTACGACGTGCACAGCCAATATGGTCAGGGAAAATATTTTAACTACGGGAAGGTATTAACAACAAACATTTCGACAAAAGCCATTAAACAAATACTGAAATGTAATTTTGGGATTTAGCTATGATGAAACTGTCAGATTATGGGATACACGTAATATGAAACATAGTTATTCCAATACCAAAGTCGGCGGAGGTATTTGGAGACTAAAGTGGGAACCTTTGAAGCAAGAATTTTTGTTGAGCGCGTCAATGTTTAACGCAGCTCACATAATTGACACATCGGAGAAATTAGCCAATATTAGTACATCGTTTGGTGAAAAAGAAACCAGGCTATTCTACGGAGCAGATTGGTGTCATATGAACGTTGAAAAAGCAGCCGAATTTCCAAAAAAAAATTGTAGAATAATTGCTACTTGTTCATTTTATGATCATACATTAGATTTATTTTTAGTTGACGATTTAGACATGAAAAATAAAAAAACATGAGCATAACCAAGGTATATTTTGTTATATGATTAGTTTATAAAATAAGTACTATATTTTATTGTAAGCAAAGAAAATAAATGTAATACATCTTATATTAGATTTAATGCTCAAAACTTCAAAACAAAATGATTTAAAACTTCTACAAGTTATGTATAATGTTAATAAAATTAAAATTGTAGAAGTAATATTAATACAAAATAAATTTTCCAATTTTTTACACGTCTTAATAGCTAAAGGAATTCATCACACCAGGCTTTAAGACAAGCGTGACAATCTTTTGCTTGTTTTGAATTTGCTTTAATTAAATCTTTTAACCAATCACAAAATAATTCTTCATCCATCTGTAGAAGTAGAAACTGGCCCAAAACATTGTATGCCTGCAAGATAAATAAAAAATATCACTAGTTGAATTAAAAATTAATAATCACAATGATAAAACAAAACAAAAACCATTATGGTTAAAAAAATATTAAAACGTAAATTATCTCATATGTTCTACTTTAATTATTATTATTTATTGTATATTTGTATTATATTATAAACTTTTGTTTTTCTACAAGTAGTAATTTTGTGTAATGCACACTACTAATTGTTTTATAATAAGTCCGCATAATTGTATACATAATTATAAATTTAGGGAAACTATATTCAATAAACTTATATAATAATATTCAATCAATTTTATTATTTAGTAATTATTTTTAATTGAAATTCGTTATCTAATTTAGAAACTAGTAACAATTTACTCAAAATAAGAGGACTCTACAGTATACGATCAAGGAAGTGACTAATTTAACAAGATAGGAGCTAGTCACATTAGTACCAATAACTAAAGACAACTAACTAGCAAATAGAAAATCTATTATTATTTATTAAATTCAAGCTAACTTATTAAAACAATAATATTGAACACTTACTTTAGTAAAACCTTGTTCTTTAAGCCTTCCAGCATTTACTTGTCCAATACCTGCAAGGTCATCAACAGGCTTGTCTCGCATAGGTTCTCCTGCAAACTCGCGATGCTTTTGGCTGGTCGTCATATTTGCACTATTATATCAAATTGAAAAATAATATTATTAGTTTGACTTTTTCAATGTAGTTTATTTAGTATTTGGAAATGATTATTTCCTAAAATTATTCAAATTTCAATAAGTAGTAAAGTTTGATACGCAATAACATGATAATATTAACGACCGTTTTCAAAAAACCTTCTTTTGAGAACTGAATTGACAATGTGTATGTAAATTAATATTGATAAAAATTGATAACGAGCCAATGCCGCCATGTTGACAGTTGCAAATTAAAATTCATTCATAATAATAATATTCTGTGGCTTTACAATTCCAGATATTATTGTACTGTTAGAATTAATTAGTAATTACATATTATAATTACTTCTTTATTCTGTGGTTTAAGAATTAAGTCCTTCGACATAAGTCACGAACCATAGACCATAGTACCTATATGCACTCCCTGTATGCTGATAGTGCTTATAAATTTGAATACTCGAAGTGCTTCCTAATAGTTATATTCATTTTTGTTTTTTGTTTATATATAATATGTATAACTTATTATAATTTATTTATTATACTTATAATTATAATTTATTTATTTCAAAAACTAACTTTCGAATATTTAAATGTAGTACATTTATCTATTCGGTTGGTAATTTTGTGTATGTATTAGTAATTAGTACATTTTTAATTTGTCTATACCACTTATTATAATAAAACCTGTTTTTCTTTGTTCTTTCACAATCGTTAGTTGCAATTTCAGGGTTTACTAATTAAATATGCGTAAAAACTAAAATGCGACAGTATTGGTGAACAAATGTACATTCGGTGTAATATACCATTTTACAAAGATATCTTAAACAAACTTGACATTGAAGATAATTGTTAACGTCCCTGGTTTTTGCAAAAATCCACCTAACCTAAAAACCACTATGTTGAATAACTATTTTTCAAAAAAATGTTACTATAAAATTCATCTTTTTAGTTGAGTTAAGATTGTCCGCTTTACTTGGCATTCAATTTAGCTTCATTAGACGGTAAAAACAATATTTCATTTTTAGTTTATGTTGTAATGCTTAGCTAGGTATAATTGATAATTTTGCTTAACATTGAAGTATCTTAAAATATGTTCACTGTTGAACAGTAGGTACATGAGAGTACGACCATCATCACTATATTAGTGTGTATATATATAAATTAATTTAGCAGTTAATTAATAAAACAAACTATTATTATTATTATTATTATCTAAGTATGTGTTTCATTAGAAATAATTTATTATTATGGTTTAGGTTCGTATGACGGTCACTTTTGTGAGTATATTGTGATAAATCAATTTATACAATGAAGGACAAAGAAAAACCTCCTATTTTTGATGTTCAACTTCGCAAAGTGGAAACTGTTGGCCCCTGGATATTGACATTATTATCAGGATCGACTGTTCAAGATAAAAGTCTTGCTAATGGGGATGAAATAGAAGATACTGATTTTTCATTTATAGAAGAAAGTGAATCGGATACTATTTATTTGAAAACACTAGATCCTAAAGAATGGAAAGATCAGGATCATTATCGGTAAGTAATACAAAAGAAAAGTTAATGACTTATTACTTATATCTTAGGTAAAATATACTGTAAATAGGCAACGTCAATGTAACAACTGTCAGCACTATTTTAGCGCTTTTAATTTTGCTTATACTATAATGAAATTCAAAGAAAATCTCTTAAAATTCATTTAACATGGGTGTTGCCCGTCTACATTATATTTAATCTAAGTTTTCATGCATTCTGAGTTAAAGCTAACTAATGTTTTTTATACATTTTTTTTTGTTATGTAGGGTATTAGGTCTCTCCGAATTACGTTTTAAAGCAACTGAAGCCCAAATCAAAACTGCGTATAGACGAAGAGTTCTTAATCATCATCCAGACAAAAGAAAAAAGCTTGGAGAAAAAGTTCAAGGAGACGATGATTATTTCACCTGTATCACAAGAGCTTGGGAAATTCTTGGCAACAAATTAAAAAGGCGTGCGTTTGACTCTATTGATCCCAAGTTTGACAATGACATACCATCAAAAGATACTGCAAAAAAATCTAATTTCTTCGAATTATTTGGTCCAGTATTTGCTCGTAATAGTATATGGTCCGAACAGAATTCAGTACCACAATTAGGGGATATTAATAGTAGCCGTGATCACGTTGATCGCTTTTACAATTTTTGGTATAGCTTTAACTCTTGGCGAGAGTTCTCTTATCTTGATGAAGAAGATAGAGAACAAGCTACCGATCGTGAAGAGCGTAGATGGATTGAAAAACAAAACCGAGCAAATCGTGCCAAATTAAAAAAAGAAGAAAGTACTCGAATTAGACAATTAGTTGATTTAGCCTATGCCAATGACCCAAGACTCTTAAAATTCAAAAAAGAAGAACAAGAAAGGAAAGCGGCCTTGAAACAAGCGAAAAAAGATGCAATCAGACAAAAACAAGAAGAAGAAATAAGGCAAAGAGAAGAAGAAGCAGCCAAAGCACAAAAAGAAAAAGAAGAACGTGAAGCGGCTGAGAAAGCACAACGAAATGCTTTGAAGGCCGAAAAAGAAAGTCAGAAGAAAGCATTAAAAAAGGAACGTAAACATATTAGAGATTTGTGTAATACAAATAACTATTATATCCAAAACGGTGATAATGTGATAGAAATAATGTCTGGTGTTGAGAAAATATGCGATCAGCTCTCTGTTGATCAACTCAAACAACTGGCTGCGGCTCTTCAAAAAGAAGGTCGCAAGGCGCTAATAGAAAAACTTAAACAAATGGAATGCAGAGTTGAAATGAACAACGTAATTAAAAATGAAGTCAAAGTTGTAGAAAATAACAACAACAACTGGGAAACAGAAGATGTACAATTATTAATTAAGGCTGTGAACTTATTCCCAGCAGGGACCAATCAACGTTGGGAAGCCGTCGCTAATTTTATTAATCAGCACAGTAAGATTGGTGGTCGTAATGCCAAACAAGTATTAGCGAAAGCTAAGTCGATGCAAAATGCTAATTTCACTGATAACGCATTGAAGTCTGAGATGAACGCCAACGCTTATGACCAATTTGAAAAACAGAAAAAATGCGAAGCGAATATGCCTGAAGAGGTTTCGGAACGCCAAGCCGGTTGGTCGGCTGAAGAACAAAAGCTGTTGGAACAAGCACTCAAAACGTATCCGGTGGCCATTAAAGATCGATGGGATAGAATAGCTGAATGTGTACCAACTAGAACGAAAAAGGAATGTATGAAAAGATTCAAAGAAATTGTTGAACTAGTTAAAGCTAAAAAAGCAGCTCAAGTGTAAACTTATGATTATAATTTTATACGAATAACAATAACACACAATGATAATAAAATATGATTATAAATGTATTTTTTTTAAAAGTATATTTTGATTATGGACATCTAAACAAATAGGTTTAAAAACTATTTTATTTTCATGTACTGACATTTGATACACAGCCACCCATTCATTCATTTTTCCATCCTAAATACTGTATACAGTAAAGGTACCAATGTATAATTATTTTTAATAAATATACATATATACAAATTAATTTCTGTTTCAAGAGGAAACTATTTTTTCTCATATAAACTAATTGCCTATAATAAACTATTTTTGTATTTCAATTATTCTCAGTTGCAAGTTATTTTCAGACCCGTTTTCTTTTCCTAAAATTCTAAATAGTGAAAAACAGCTCAATGCTATTAAAACATTCGTTTGGTAATATAACATGTTTTTAAATAGTGGAATTAGTGTACTTATGTTCTGTTATAAAATAATAAATCACACGGTTTTAACTTAAGTCGGTACAAAATAAAAAAAATGTCTTATCATTTCTATTTAGCCTCAGCAAGTTCAGTCCATTATCTTTTTTGGTTATTTCAAAATTAAATAATGTTTCATTTAATAAAAACTATACAATTTTATTTATTATTAAACTTTATTAACTTAAATAACTAGTTATAATGAAAAATAATGTTCATAAATAAAATTAAACACAAAAAAAATTATATTTTAAAAGTAAAATAATGATTTTTTTTTTTCTTAAAATAGAAATAATATAAAATAACTTATACGCTTCGGATAGTAGTTCTACCGGTTATAATAATACGTCCCATGTCTTGAACTTCTTTAAGAGCATCATCAAACATTTCTCTCGTTACTTGGAATTTAAAATTTAATTTTGTTTCGTTTAACAACTTTTGATAATTAAAAACTGTAGATTTGGCTTCGCTACCTATTACTTTAGCCAAATGTTCCGCAAGGTCGTGTCGCCTTTGCCGGGCTGCCGAACTAAGACCCGTAGTTAAAATACCAACATCTATTTTTCCAGATAAAGGATCTGTAGCACTTTGTTTCAACGCTTCTCTGTACAACCGCCAAGCTTCATCTACATCTTGCATTTCCACAACAGTTGAGTACCTCATCTTAGCATGTGCTTCGGACAAACGAATAAGAGATTCCAATTGTCTCGGGTAAGCTGATACTTGTCCTCGACCACTACCTACTGTTCTCATGTTGACATAGTATTGAATGAGTTTTTGTCTGCTTTCTTCATTTAAAATGGGTTGGAATTTTTCTCGCCCGTACGTAATATAGTCTTGAAGTAACGTTGTATCCATTTGTTCATCATGTTCGAAATTCTCGCTTTTGTAGTACAATGAAACTAAATGATTAGCTAATCTTCTATCATATTGTTCGTTTTGTGGATCCAGCATTAAAAATATTAAATCGAATCTAGACAATAAAGTGTGCGGTAGTTGTATGTTTTCAATAATGGTTTTATTTTTGTTCCATTGGGACTCGCATGGATTTGCTGCAGCCAATATGGAAGTTCTCGCATTTAACTGACAAATAATGCCCGCTTTAGCAATACTCAAAGTCTGCTGCTCCATTACTTCGTGTAGAACGCTCCTGGCAGATTCACTCATTTTGTCAAATTCATCGATACAGCAAACACCATTATCGGCCAATACTAACGCTCCCGTTTGTAAAACGAGTTGTCGGGTTTCTGGATCTTTGGTAACATAGGCAGTCATTCCGACAGCTGATGAGCCTTTACCACTGGTATACTGGCTTCTTGGTACAATGTCATAGACATAGGATAAAAACTGAGATTTACTGGTTCCCGGATCACCACATAAAAGTAAATTGATTTCCGATCTTAGGTGATTCTTTGTTTTGGATGTTTTTCTTGTTCCACCAAACAGCTGCATTAATATGCCTTTTTTTATATCACAATTTTCATATATAGACGGGGCCAAAGTATTGGCTAATCTGTCATAGATATCTTCGGTTTTTGATAGCTGTTTTAATAACTCAACTCGTTCCTCGGTTAGTTTGTCTTTTTCTTCGACAGAAAAAGCTATGCGGCTATCGTTAGATTTTAAAAAGTGAAGAACGTCAACATGTGTTCGATACACACTTCGAAAATTTCTCATTCTCGGGTTTACTTGCATTGGAACTGCTCGATAAATACCAGTCACAGAAACCCGATCACCGGCTTGCACAGTTTCAATTAGCTCGTTATAAGAATATAAATTTACAGTGTGCGGAGTCTGACCGGCCGGCATTTCTTCAGGTGATTCTTGAAGCTTAGTTAACTGTTTGTCGGTAAAATGGGACTGGTTGTGGATCAACTCGAAACAATGATTTGTATTACAGTGAGGGCACAGTGTAGGTTCAGCAATATTACCTCGATCGATTTCCACTATGGTCGTATAAGAACAAACAATACAGCGAAAGAATGCATCACGCATTTCAGGTATAATATCACTACAGCGAATTACCATTCCGGACACCGTAATCAACTGGTCCATATCCTCAGGGTTCAAGAATCGCATATTTTTAGTTTTTTGAACATTAAAAGGGCGGACTTGTAAGGCTTTAGTCACATGTGTTAAATCAGCAGCCGGGTACTTTGCAAAAAATACTTCATTTACAACAGTGTCAAATACAGGGATAACTTCTTGAGGGTAACATATCAGTTGATGGTACAATTCTGAATCAAATTGATACAGATGACCACAATTTACATCTACATAGGGTATTTCCATTTCTAACACATTATTCAGTTTGGTCATGTAATGCGGGGATTCTGTTTCGTTAACACAAAATGTTTCAATGAACGTTTGAAATCTACTGCGACATCTGTCAACCACAACATCAGTACCCCATATGACTAAATTAGGAGCAACATCCTGATTATCCGCGTCTGTACGTGGCACACCATTTTCGTATGCTCTGATATCCACTTGTCTTTGACGACGGCTAACTGATAAATTACTACGTTGTGCTGAACTACCGCTACGGGCCGTGAAACCTGTAGCCCGTGAATCAACCGAGCTTAGAGGAGATCCATAATTAATGGGCGAACTCAAATCCACTTCACTAGTTCGTAGTCCTCTTAGAGGACTAGTCATAAAACGACGTGCGGGCGACGATGGTTCAGAAACTAAACCTCGACGACTAGCGACAGAACCTGGTGTCCTAACGCCTGGGGAACGACCATTAGTTCTAGGTGTTGTACTGCCATTTCTCAACGGAGTTCGACTTTCCCTTTGAGTAGTATTATTTCTCGAAGGGGTTCGACCTCCCCTCGGTGTTGTGGTGCCGTTTCTTTGTGGCGTACGACCAGACATAGCTGTAATTATAATTAAAATATCGTTACAACGGTGAATAACAACACATTCTTTAACATTATAATAATCAAAATATTATTTTTTCAATTACCTGATTGAAATAATAAAAGTTGTGATGATGAAACCGATTATTATCCGTTCCAGAAAATTAAGTAGAACGAAAAAAAGGTTTGAACAACACAAATTACAATTGGGAGACTAATTACTAGTTACGAATAAGTAATAACAAAGTCATATAAATCCAGTTCTAGACTCTAAAATTTAAAAGGCGATCGACAGACAACAATAAAGAGATAGCCCATAGCTACTCAATGGACAAAACATCAACAAAATTGGCGGCAAAATTTGGATATTTTACAATAATTATGTACAAAGTAGTTTATAGGTTATAATATAGAAATGTAACCAGTGGTAACACTGGTCACTTTTTTACACAAGTAATAATATTTAAATTTTAAAAACAGAAAGTAAGAAGGAACATAATAATATATTGTCATTTGAAAATACAATATTCTGTGTGGTATTATACTTATTATTGTTTGCAATAGAAATTAGAGAATTAATGTACCTATGTCTCAACAAATAATTATTTTAAAAACAACAAATTTTTAGAAATTATTTGAAAAATTAGGAAAATACCTTAAAATTGAAAGGCAATCTTTTTTAGTTGATAAAGATTATTATAGTTCATAAATCATAACACGTAAGTATTAACACATTAACAAATTTAAACAATAACGAATAGCGATATAAAAAACCATCGATAGGTATATTATTATAATATATTATACAACGGTTGGCTATTTTGTCTTGTTATAAGCTATAGTCTATGTTGTTTTAAACGTAATACTAGCATTATTTTAGAATCGTAGATTAGTTTATTAATTATTATAAATTTATTTATTTATTCTGTGGCTCGGTCATTGGTGCTTTGACAATAAGACGGTATTATCACAATTATTCAGTGGTAGTACTATAAGTTTACATAATGAATAATCTCTGTCCTGTGAAAACTAAAATCGTTATCAAACACACGTTCAAATCATAAATGATAACAATTAACATGCTTTTATAAACGACAACACGTGCCTATCGACATTCTAGTATTCTAATTTCTACCTATCGTACTAAATCACATTAATTCAATAATAATTCAATAAAAATATAAACCGTCTATAAGTTCATCAATTTGTACTTATTGTTAATAAAATCATTTGTATTTCAAATTTATAGTTGTTGCAATGACTTTGAACGAAACCGATGATGGTGGGTACAGTTAATAACATAAAATAATACATTTAATGGTTCATTAAAATTGAATGGACCAATCACCGGCTACTTAATTAAGTTTAAGGAACCACTAAACGTCTATTGATTTATTATTAAACCTTTAATGAACGGTGTTGCAAAAAGTGTTAAATTTTGTTTAAATAGATACACTATCCTCGGATGAATCTGAAGACTCTAGCAATGAAAGTTCACAAGAAATTCGTTTTGATGACGAAATAGAAAATTCTTCTGATGATGAAGATAATGATGAACTACCACCAGTCTTTGACAGTTCTAAAGAATCTGAATACACGGTTAAATATGATTTATCATTTGAAGAAGCTATTAATTTAGACGATGTTTACATTTTGCACTTGGATGCTCAAAAACAGTATGAAATACACGTCTTATATACCAAGCTATGTATTTTGTTTTTAATAACTTTTGTTTAAATAATTTTAGAGGAAATTTGTTGAAAGTAGCAATTGCACTATCAGATTATTCATCTAAAATTTATAATCTTAACTCTGAAAATAAGGATGTTCAAGTATTGAATGAGCATGATGGAAAGATCATTGACATTAAGTAATTACATTTTATTTTATTACATCATTTTATTTCTGATATTTTTTATGATAACGTTTATTAACAGAAAAAATACTATTAACAAAAATAAGCAGTAAAGTTATTCACTTTTAAGTGTACAAATTTATTAGTTATACATTTTTTTAGATTTGGAAAAAATAATACTGATTCTTCAATAGTGTTTACCGGATCCGAAGATGGAACCATCAAACTTTGGGATTTGCGTACCAAAGAAAAATGTTCTTCAATTTATAAAGGTACTATTCATGAATTTATCTACTGAGCCCGAGTCAAGTAGTTCAAGAGGAGTAATAGTATATGTGGACGTGGTTTTAAACATCAAAGAATGTTCTTGATGAACGTTTGATGTAATATCTAGCTAGTTCTTCTTTGCATTAAGCCAACTTCTAAACCAAAACTTTCTATTGTTCTAATAAATAGGTTAAAACTATGAACACGTTAGCATATAAAAATGAGCTTTGATCAGTGTCGGCTTCATGGTCGTTCAGTAAAGAAGTGAGACAAAAAATATTGTCTCTATACCCTATTGTATATTGTACATGCCACGAGTCAAAACTAATGACAATATAAATAGATATTTAGAGCACACAACGGTCAATATTATTAAGACACTCTGACAGGCCCGTATTGTGTGGCCACCACCATCAACTAAATATATAAATTATTCATATAATTTACAACTATTTATATTGTAATTCAATATAATGTAATATAGGTAAATTTTTATACTTTTGGTAAGGAATGTGACGTTAATGTGCAGCACGTTAGAATTATGAAGTAAATGTAATTTAAATTATAATATCCTTTGCATAGTTTTTAGTTCTTCATCGGGTGATCGTGTCATAATAACAATTAAACATTTTACATTTTTTGTATGATACACTAGTTGCATTGTGTAAAACTGAGAATGTCTTTTAATCATATCTATATATTTTTTAGATGACACTGACCAAAGTTTGAAGCCATTATCTTGTTTTGATGTATCGTGCGATGGAAGATTTTTAGTAGCAGGAACAGAAGTGTTGACAGATGATTCATTTTTATTATTCTGGGATTTACGATCAACAAAACTACTAGGCGGTTATTGGGATACCCATCAAGACGACATAACTCAAGTACTTGGACATGAAATATTTTTGTTTTGTAATTTTATTTTGATTAAACGTGTACTCTCAATGTTATAATACTACTTATTAGGTTAAGTTTCATCCTTCAGAAGAAAAAACTGTAATAAGTGGTTCTACTGATGGTATTATTAATATGTTTGATATTACACAAACAACTGAAAAAGATGCACTTCAATTGACGTATAATACAAATTCATCTGTTGTAAGCATGGATAATATATGATTTTTATCATAACACTATTATAGAAGCAATTAATCAGCAGTATTATATTTTAGAGTATGTTAAATTGGCTGAAAGATGAAAATGAAGATTGGATTATATCTTGTGTAACACATACAGAAGATTTACAACTATGGCATACCACAGATTCTGAACCATTTACAACTGTTCCCAGAGATACAATTAGTAAATCAATGAACGTATGTACCGATTCTATTAATTTACGCTAACAACAATTACATTTGTTTTAACTTTTAGATTAAACCTGACGTATACAGTCAAGTAATCAATTGTCACCAAGCAGACAAAAATGGTAATGTCATGTTGTTAGTTGGAAATAATCATGGCAAAGGGTAAATGATTACACGTGTTTTAATATATTGCATATAATGTAATAATGGTTATTTTAATTTTCTTAGAGAACATTTACAGTCTTTAAATATTGACGGTGAACACGTAGTCACTCCCAGAACATTATTTAAGGGTAACAAACAAATAGTTAGATGCAGTTGGTATGATTATGACGTAAGTTATTTAAAGTTGCATTGATTTATTTCAATATATAATAATATATAAGTTGATTTCTTATTTATCAAATAAACTTTCCATAATGACCTTTGGAGTCGGGTCTCTGGAGCAAGCCTACCATAATTATCCAAACGCCCAACAGTTAATTAACTTTGCTCAAATCAAAATTTTGCTTGTACGGCACATTAAAAGTCATCACCACTTTACTCTCAGGAGGCAATTTCCTATCGACTAAACTAAAATATAGTTAATTATAATTTTAACATATCTACTTTTTTTTTTTTAAGCTACACTAATTTAAAAAATATATTTTTAATTTCAGAGTGAAACAATTATAACAGGGGGAGAAGCTGGTATATTAAATGTTTGGACTCCAAAGGATGATAACAGTTCAAGAGTTGTTATTGATAAATCGTCATTAAAACATATACCAAAAGTAAGTTTAAAAAATAAAACTCGTAAACCATATTGATGACTCGATTTCAGAATTAATTATTTTGTTCTTATGACCAACATACATAGATTTTATGTATAATAATAATTTGTACTTTGTAATGTATGTCTCAATAAACATTATGATGTTGATATTTTTTATTCTTGCTATTTATTTGTTACTATACATAACTTTATCCAAATCTATGTGCATGCATAAATATTTTTGTTCCATCGTCACTCAAACAGTGTGAATTGGGTCCAATAATTCGACGACTTAAAAAGGAATTGCCAAATTGCTTATTCAGCTGCGTGTAAAGTTAAATAAGTCAATAATTGTAGTTTTTAATTATGTTATACCTTGAAATTGTCAGTATATTTTTAATTGTCGCAGACAGTCACTGGATAAGCAAAGAATATACTAAGGATGAGAAAAATATGAATATTACATAATACCGAAAGAAATATAAGTTTATTGTAATTTTATATTACAAAGTTCACAATAAAACAGTTATTTAAAACAAAAAAATGTATGAACATAAAATCTGTCTTGTATAAAAAACGAACACAACTAAAGTGTAGTGTTATAAAAAACTAAAAATACTTAATACAATTTGAACAGTTGACATGACTATAGACTATAGTGTATTACAAAATAATAAAAAAAAGTAGGTAAACTAATCAAATAATCTAAATAATTAACGTTAAACTTTATAAACTATATATAAAATAAACTATGTAACTAAATATATCAAATAAACTATATAAACAAAATAAATGTAAACAAAACAAAATAATCTTAATAATTAACAATAAACAACACGTGTATATGAAAAACAAATCTCACAAACAAGAACCTAGCCTCCGACAAATCGACCTTAGCCCACGGCCAACAGATCTTTTGGACTTTCTCCACAAAGACCGTCGGACTGGTGGGAGGATTTCGGAGGGACACTGGGAAGACTCCACCGGTGCTGAGAATATTCCATCCGGAATTCTCACCAAATCTTCTTCGTCGAACACGAAGTCGACATCTCTGTCGATGACCATGTGATAGTCTGAAAAATAAATGAATTACTAAAAAAAACGGTCTTAATCACTGAACTAACAACAATAATTGCACATCAGACTTTAATCTTTATAATATTATCTTTAATTATTATTATTTTATAGGTATACCTGCTTGATTTTCGGTCTGCGTTTGACGTTCGTACACTAAAGGTATTTCCCTGTCGGGGGGTTCCTCTTTAGTTTTCTCAGCAATATAGCATCTCCCAGCTGCTTCGGCTTGCTCAGCTAAGTCTGGTTCGTAAGATCGGTTTCTGGGGACTCCGCCGATAACTGACGTTGGTGGTGGTGTATTGATAAACTGAAATTAGGCGTAGAAAAACAATTTATTTAAAAACCGTTAGATTTTTTTTAATCGTTTGACCATTTAAAAATGAATTACATAGTTCATTATGTCCTTTATGTGGTCGGTGGACTGTTCGAAAGCCGTGGGCGTTGCACGTTCAACGCATTTGATCGAGTCCAACAATCCCTTTCCTCCTGGAACAGGGCCGTTGGCAGACTGTCTTCCGACGGCCATCGTTTTCCGTAGTGTGTCCACCGTTTCAACGGTCGGTGGTCCGCTTTTATTGATTTCGGTTTTTTCTTCCATCTTGTTGATGAGGTCCCCGTGAACACCAACTGACCGGATGTCGAAACGTCCGGTCCGCTCGGTGCCAAGTATATCCATTTGACGGGTTATGGATTGAGCGGGATGCAGTTCAAAAGGTTGCCCACGCCTTAACAGCCTCCGACTAACCAAAGTAAGAGGCTCATCTTGCCCATTATCAAATGCATTGTAAGTATCGTCGTCACAAAATCCAAATTGTCCGTTTTCCATATTCCGATGTCGTAGTCCGTTGAAAATGTTGGCGTGATCACAAAAACCGTTGCCGTAAATTTCAAATTGTCCATTATCCAAATTCCGAGATTGTTGTCCGTCAAAACCGTTAGCGTCATCACAAAAGCCGTTGCCGTAAAATTCAAATTGTCCGTTTTCCATATTCCGAGGTCTTAGTCCGTTGAAAATGTTGGCGTGATCACAAAAACCGTTGCCGTAAATTTCAAATTGTCCATTATCCAAATACCGAGATTGTTGTCCGTACAAACCGTTAGCGTCATCACAAAAGCCGTTGCCGTAAATTTCAAATTGTCCATTATCCAAATACCGAGATTGTTGTCCGTACAAACCGTTAGCGTCATCACAAAAGCCGTTGCCGTAAAATTCGAATTGTCCATTTTCCAAATTCCGAGGTTGTAGTCCATTAAAAATGCGAGAGTGATCACAAAAACCGTTGCCGTAAAATCCAAGATGTGCCGTTGCAGTCATGCCGGTGTCTATTTCAACACCGCCGAGGGCCTGCTTCTCACCCTCGGCTGTGGTTGCTGTACCAGCTCCGTAGCTGGCGGCAGGATCCCACGACGTTCCTGCACTTTCAGTGGCTGTGTGTGATCTTGACCTATAGGGCGTGCCACCCCTATCTGCCATTTCTTGGGGTCCGAACCCCCCCGGTAGGAGGGCCCCAAGTACGTTTGCTTCTTTCTTTTTACTGTTCATGTTTAAAAAAAGGGTTTGGTTTTTTGTCAGGGTTTGCTCCCTTAGGCGATCGTCTTACCGGACTTACGGGCTCGCCTACCCGGAGTGTCTCTTGGTTTGATCCCTCTCCTTTGGCCTACTGACGTTGGGTGACCCGTTGCCAGCAGCCCTCCGGGTCATCGGGATACAAAAGCCCTTCCACCACGACAAGGTGGACACTCGCGGAAGGGAACTCGCCGAACGTCAACATTTCGTTTCCGGACTGGGATTAATTAGTGTCATGGTGGCATCAGAAAGTGAAACTGAGGAAAACGGCAAGAGGAGAAAGTCCATGCGAGAGAAGGGGGAGTGAGGAGATGGGAAAAAAAGCACGACGTTGAGGTGGAGCCAGGACTCCGCGTCCACGATAAAAAAATGCCATTATAATATTAATTAACTATGAAAAATTATTTCCATCGTGAAAACAGGAATACAGTACTATAATACACGACTGAATGAAATCGAGTAAATGAGTAAGTTTATACAGGGGCGGGTTTTATCACTCACCGAGAGGGAGGGATCAACAACTTACCTAGCTGTATTTTAAATCCGAATTTCAACAAAAAAAAAAATAGCTTGAAACCTAAATATTCAAATATCCATAAATATTAAATAACCGTATTCTTCAATGACGATATTTTATAATAATTATTGATATATCATAATACTTGCCTTAAAAAAAAAATAGCTAATCCCAAAGGGGGGGGGGCTACTGTCCCCTTAGAGCCCTTCGGGTCATCGGGATACGCAAGCCCTCCCACCACGACAAGGTGGACACTCGCGGAAGGGAACTCGCCGAACGTCACCATTTCGGAGTGAGGAGATGGGAAGAAAATCCGACGTTAAGGTAGAGCCAGGACTCCGCGTCCATGATACTACTAATTAACTATAAAAAAATGATTTCCATCGCGAAAACGATTAAGTTTATAATAGGCGTACAAGTGAGCGATGAGTAATGTCGTTATAAAATATAAATTAAACAGTCAACGACAAACGAAGAAAGATTTAACATCTACTTGTTACTTTTGATCAAAAAGTTTAGATACAGATAGCTACAGAACACCAAAACATTTTTAAATATTTGTAATATTACTGTCATAGCTATAAATTATTATTAAATAATATATTAGATAATTTTATGTATTTAAGTTCGAATATTTTCCTTCTAAGTATTCACTAGGTACTATGTAAATAATAACTTCCCTCAGTTGTACTAAACGCATAATATAATCCGTTCTTACCCATTGCTCGACAAATGCTATTTCGGCTTCTGGAAAATTCTGTCTTCTTAATCTTTGCAATCACTGTTCCATTTAGATGGTCACAGCAAAAAAAAACTGAACGAATTTAAGAAAAAACATTGAACTTTGTTACGAAAAAAAATCTTTCAGTTGACGTCAAAATACAAATAATGGTTATTGTTTACAGTTTATTTATTAACTAGGCAAATTTGTTTTTCCGTCACTAAGCGACTTACTAATCATGTTTAATGAACAAACTTGGCAACGTTATAAAACAAGTAATTAGAAGGAAATTATCTCATTAAATTATCAACAAACATTGGCTACTGTTACTGTCGGAGAAAAATGTAAAGCAAATCAATAATTTAAAAAAAATGAAAACTTTTTCATTCATATGTTATGAAACCCTTTTGGCTTTTAGACTGGTGGTGTTCAAATAAAAATGCCAGAAAAAAAATTATCCAGAGATCTATACAAGGGCTACCCACCATAAATGCGGAATTCAATATATTCTATCATCAGGTCAAACGGTTTGGTATCGAAAATATAATTTTTAATACAGAAAACTGTTTACGAGCAAAGCATATTGTGTTTAAGACATTTTTGAAAAATGTATTTTATACTTGGGTGAATTATCATTAACACTAAACTGTGTATAAGTGTATTTTGCTTACAATAATGTGCTTAAAATAGTATTTTTAGAATTAGACCGGTTAAAATTAGGGTCAGTCGTTTGTCTATAGCAATTTGTTACCATGTTGTGTTTATCCCCGACAAAAATCGTCATTTAGCTGACCGTTTTTGATTTAATATATTTTTTTTAAAAATATAAAACATTACAATGTCTTAAATGTGTATCGACTTAGTAACATTTGTATTGATTTCCCATCAAATCTCAAAAAACGTTTGAATTTAATAATGTATGTGACCGCAACATTAAAAAGGGTTTTTAATTTTTGTAAGATTACTGTTAAAGCTATTAATTAAAATTAAAAGAATATCAGAAAGTTGTATGCTGTTTGAATATTTTCCTAATTTATACTAAATAATAAATACTATTCAAATAACATTAGTATAAACATACCTGTATTGAAATCGGTCGACAAATGCTTTTCCAACAGTCGCCTCGACGTTTTCAAAAAGTCTACCGTCTCAGTAACACAATCTGCAATCATTTCTAGTTTCGATCACTGTTATCCATTTAAAAAGTCACAAAAAACAAACAATTAGAAAAAATGTCTAAAGAAATAATTGGGTTTCTGCAGGGAGAAAAATTCTCGAGTCGTAAAAG